AAAAAAAAAAAAAAAAAAAAAACATCAGAAAGTTATCATAAGATGTCAAAAGCTAACCGTAGACTTCTAGGATGACATGGCTTATAATTACAAAGCAGCATACTCTAGTTCATGACAATGTGTGTCCTGTTCTCGTACTCCAGGAAACATTTGCTCCCTTGCCAACAGCTGAGGGACCCGCATTTGTGTATGTCGCCCCAGAAGTGATAAACGATGGACCAACTGTTCCTGATATGGAGGTCCTAGCTGCCAGAGGGTGAGTTTTAAACTTGTAGACTGTGGGTGAAATTTGTGCTGTCCATTTTGAATAGCTGATAACTCGTAACTATGTATAGCTGTCAAAACAAAACATAAAGTATGATAGGCGTCTCAGTTTGGTCTGATTGTTATTGTCAAGACGGCTTTCAAAGTAAAGCAGTTTAACTGAGATCTGTTCTATGCAGCTTTTGAACGCTCAAGAGAAGTCAGAAATGCAAGCCTAAAACATACCATTCTGATGACGTAGCGAATGACGTAGCTCTTCAGAGAGACATGCAGCGTCTCTGATTGGATGTTACTTGCGCGCAAAAATTCAGAACAACGAATCAGAGATCTTCACGTATCCGGGATCTCTGTAAAGTTACGTCATTTCGCGTCGAATCTGAGACAAAGGGGGGAAAGAATTTGGCGCAAAGAGGAAAGGCTCTGTTCTCTAGATGAGCGGGCTAAGAGGTGGTCTGTTGTTTTTATTTTTATTAATTTTAACATATTTGCTTTGTGCTAGGTACCTGCGACATGTCCGTAATGCTACAGACAGTGAGAGGGCAGGAGGCTACATATCAGAGCTGGCTTGTGGAAGAGCTATACAGGATGCTTTTTCGGCGCTCTATTTGGGTGCTGAGTTGTAGTTGAACATTTCACAAAACAAGAACAACTCCTGCTTTGTGAAGGAAAACATCGTTGCATTGTTACTTTGTTGGATAGGTAACTTTCATTCAGCGTATCTCCGTTTAGGTGTTGAATGGTCTTGAAAGGCAAGAACATTGGTGACGTTTACGTAGAGCAGTTTCAAATGACTTTTCCTTCAAGTGCTAGTAGAGACCAAAACAATCACGTGGCCAAACCCTGCAGCCAAAAATAATCAAATGAACCAATCAAAACAGAGAACCTGAGGCGATAACAAGCATGGCAAACTGATGTAGCCAGGGAAAGTACTTGATGGAATGCACAGCAGAACTGGCGGAAATTTAAGGCAGGAAAAGTGACGAAAGTCAAATCACGATTTGTTTTCGTTTTGCAGTGGCCAAAATGTAAATATCTTTGTGCTGGCTGGTTAGAGCAATAACAGAGCTTATTGTACGCCATAACGAACCAACCAGTTGGTTACTTTTGTATGTTAGCCGAGTAGCGTGCAGCGTCCGTTTTAGGTCAGAGTGGTTAAAAAGCCTTGAAAGATAGACCAACCCCGTAATTTTTTGATGCAATAAATTGAATTGTGTTAAATTGTATTAAAACATACCGAGAACCGAAGCTCCTTTCCTTGACGACATCTCCAGAACGATGGAGGTTTTCCTTTGCTTTCAAACGAATCGAAACGAAACATAAACTGATCCTCCACGAAAACATCCACGCAATGCGCGAATGATATCCGCGGAAGAACTGGGTACAATGTCTAAAAATAACGTAAGAGGAATTACCTTGTGTATAAGGCCTATATGGGGGATGCACTCTCTTATCTTGGTAATCTCTTGGTCTAAGACGAATAATACGTCTGTGACGAAAAATACGTCTAAGAAAAATAATACTTCTAAGACGAATATCAGGTGTAAGACAAATCGGACGTCTCAGACGAAAAATACTTTTAAGACGAACAATAAGTCTAAGCCGAATAATACGTCTTACACGAAAAGTACAGCTAAGACGAATACTACGTCTAAGACGAATAATACGTCTGCGACGAATAATACGCCTCAGACGAAAAATACGTTTAAAACAAATAATACGTCTAAGACGAATAATAGTCTTACAAGAATAAAATGTCTAAGACGAATAATACGTCTCAGACAAATGGCACGTCTAAGGTGAGAAATACGCAACACGAATGATACCTCCCCGACGAAAAATACTTCTAAGACGAATAACACGTCTAAGACGAAAAATACGTCTTAGACTAATAATACGTCTTAGAAGAATAATGCGTCTAAGACGAATAAAATGTCTAAGACCAGTGACTACTGCCGAGCACTGTTTCGTTGTCTGAACTTTGCTCAACGATTTGATTACCGCGCGCTCGGCAGTAGTCGGAAGCTGGGAGGAGCCGCCGAACACTTGATTGACGGTAGCGAAAAACGCATTTGTCGGTTGTGCTTTGAATTTTAGAGTTCGCATCTTATTGGAAGGCACAGTAAAAGTAATGAGCAGAATTTTGAATTGAATGCGGTACATGACTGGTAGCTAGTGATATCAGTAACACTGATACTAAAGTCAACGGTAAACTGCTAAGTATAGGATATGACTATAGCCTTTGGATTTTGTGGCCCAAAAAGAACAAAACTGTCCTTCAACCCACCCCATTCTCCCCAAAAAGAAAGAAAATGACCCCCGCCCCCACCACCATATCTTAGATAATTTCAAGAAATTGTAATGAGTCTGTAATGTTATAGGAGATAGGTAAAGAAGGCACTTCTCCAAGTTTTAGGTCTCTGCGTTTTCCAAACGTCCGACATTCGTCGAAATGTTTTGCGCAAATTTCACAGCCCAGTATGGAGCCGCCACGTAGGTGGAGCTCTGTGCTCCACCACATCCACATGGTAAGCTATTCGGAGGTCGCCATCTTGAAGTGTGAGATAACCCGGGGATTAGCAACCACTTTATGCTGAGTGACCGCGCATCCATTCTTTGAAACGAAACGAACAACCCGAAGTTTTCCATAACCGGCATGGAGTTGAGGGGAAGGGTAGGGAGGGTGGTGCGCTTAAGGGGTCCAGAGGGGAAGAACGTATCAGAACCCGAGAGGTGTCAGATGAGGTGGGGGCACACCCATGTATGGGCTGTACAGGTATGTGCCACGGGATGGGGTAGAGTTTTTGAGGTTTCCGATCCTTAAATAGGGTATCATTCTTCCCCCTGTTGGCATCGTGTTTCTGATGTGATCCTTTGATAAGGTACCTCAATTGTATCAGCTACAATGGCAGTGCGGAATGCCCAGCTTAACGAAAAACAAGTGATCCGTTACATATAAACCAGAACTATTCGTATACGTCCAAGGTTACCGAAACGATATAAAGTTGAGCCGTACACGCTATTCTTGGTTTTTTTTCCCTTCAATAGGGTGTCATTTGGGGAGTTTGGGCTTTAGATTGGTTGTCAGGATCAGGGTTTAAGACCCTTCACGGCATACACCTATTCAAAATTTACGGAAGTAACACCCCCCCGGGTGGGGGGTTGAACTAACTTTAATATCCCTTGTGAGGTGGAGCACATGTTTTCATCTCTCATCCTCCCTTCAGATAAATATTAAATCATCCCAGTCCCAGGGAGTCCACTCATTTTAAAACAGAGGCAAAAGGCAACTTGGAAATGGCCTATCAAAACAAAAGCATCTCTCGTTAATGTCACAAACTTGTAACTGTATTTTTATTTGAAAAGTCAAGTTCAACTGAGGATTCAACAAGACCACAAAGGTGACAGCTGAATGAAAACAGACAGCCAGATAGCAAGCAACGGCCAGAAACTAATCAGAAGCTGCAAAGATGAACTATGTATCTCACCCATTATGGGTTTCTAAATAACACAATTGACCACATTGGTTTGGCCCATTGTATGTGGCCCCTTAAATCTTACAATGTGACTTTAAATCCTACAGAAGTGATCTTTTATACAAACACATATTCTGAACATTGATCTTTACACAATGACTGGTTACTCCTTATCAGGTCTGACTATGCCAAAAAACACTGGTTTGAACTTTTCGCTTTTCAAACGTATCATTATAGTTTTGCACATGGTTAACTTTGAAAACTTCAAAATCAAATTAAATCAATGGTAAACTATGCACAATTGACTGCGTACTCTCAGGACTATCCCACAGGAGTATCAGAGCAGTTTCTATTGCAGGAAATACCACAAACCCTAGGAGGATGAGACAGCTGACATCTCAGGCTGTGGCTTCCTCAGTGATAAGATCAATGCATTTCAACCACATAAAATAATCAACACTCCACATAATGTACTCAAAAAACTCCACAGCAAACTTTTGTATTGATTATGAGGCATTTTTGTACTTAAATATAAAGATCTACAAACTGAATGATGGAATTCTCCTTCTTCACTGCTAGACCCAGGGTACTAGAACCTTTAGTGCCTATGCAAAGCCAAACTCCGCACGCAGTCTCAAGATCTTAAAATAATTAGCCATGATTTTTTAAGTTCACCATTTTTGTTTTGTCTTACATGTAATCTTGGCTATCTTTGCTGCATGTACTTTTCAGTTAATTTACCAGCTCGTTATTTTTTTTTGTAGATGCACTGCAATCATCTTGATATTCTCTTTAATTTAAGGAAAATATCACAGAAGTCATGCACAAAAATGATCAAACACAGCATGACTCAGCCCTCTATAATCACGGTAAACAGGAAATATATGAGCAAACAAAATCTACTACGATATAACATATAATAGACATGCTCTAACTGTGTAGAGCTTTCTTAGCTACACTTACAGCAGGTAGCCTGGTTTAAGTTAAAAAAGACATCCACACAATAATTGCTCACATCTCTAATCCAAGTACTTTTCTAAACATAGCTTAAGCTATTTTGTTTACAACTGTAGTGTGGAGAGAATTCAACTGTGTGGTCCACCTGTCCAGACCGTGGAATCTTTCAACACTCTGTCCTGTTCTGTTCAGTTCCAAAAGTTGATTGACCTGGTCGATGCGGCCGTGAATAGTATTGTCAAGAATGCACGACACAAGGAGGCTTTCCACCTCTTCTGTATCAATATTCAACTCTTTGGAGATAAATGGAATATGAATACGGGTGTACGGCTTGATCAGTTTGATGAGCACTTGTGTCCGGATGTTCCTCAAGAGATCCTCAATGTGTTCCCTTATGAATGGATCATCCATAATGTTCTTGCGGTTGGTTTTGAGAATCTTTTCAAATTCATTAATGTCATCATTCTGATAAGCACTAACAAGATTTGTCATGGCTAGAATCTCAGGATCGTTTTTGTACGGTTTTGCCTCTTGCGAATCAAATGGATTAATCCCAGACTTCATTAGCATGTTGGCCAATACCAAATACTTTAGGCATGTTGTGCGCCTCCCACTTCCAGATTCATCATAGTTCTTGAAAGCTTCAAAGAAATCAGTGTGAGCTAGGTCATAGTCGCCTTCTCGCAAGTGCATCTTCCCACCGCACTCTCTAATCACCCCCATTATGAGAGGATGGGGAATGGCTGACTTGATGTGAAGTGACTGCTCATACAAAGCTTTGAGCTTCTTGTTATTTTTCTGTGCAGTGTACATCTGTATCTCGAGAGCATAAATTTCCAGAAGTTGGGTGCCCTTCTTGAGGTCATCCTCACCATCGTCCGTCTGACAAGACTGATGCAGCTGTTTTAGGATCTTTGCTAGTTTGGTAAACTCTCCTCGATCAAAGTACAACTTTCCCAGCTTTGTGTTTGTCTTAAACCACAGCCTGTCATTCTTGGCATCCTTCAAAGCTTCCAGTGTTGTCTCGTAAAAATTCTGCAGCAGCTCCATTTGCTTTGAAGTCGAGATGTAATCCAAGATGGAGTTGATGGACTTTTCAGAGTGGTTTCGTGTGACGGCACTCTTTATGTATGTGAGTAGCTGTTGATATCTGGTCATCATCTCCTCGTAATGACCTAGTTTGAAGTTGATTTTGATCATTTGTTTCAGAGCCTTAAAACCCCATTCCCCCTTTTCTGTCTCCAGGTCCAACACCTTCTGGAAGCTCTGTAATGATGAATTAGGATCATCTTCCTTCAGAGCTTTGGAGTTGTAGTATTGGTTTTCCAAATCCACGTCTGGCTCTGATGCACTGTCCTCCGAGTACTCCAGGTCATAATCCTCTTCATCATCACACATGAAATCATCATCCATGTCCGACATCTTGAAATGACGCTGCAGTACTGTGGCGAAACCAAAGTCAATCAGCAACATTCAATGCAAAGTGTATTTTAGTTGGTTTGGTCCCTTTCTTCCCCCCCGAAATAGATAATTAATTTGAAGGACCTACAGCTGTAAGTCAATATTTCAAGGAAACTTTACTGATTGCTGAAATGTTTTTGCTGGTTAGTATCATAGCAAAATCATAATTTGTGTTAGTTTTGAGTGTTTTCACCAATAACACAACAAGAAAAGCAAATGGGATGACAACTGTAATCAGTTACATGAGCCAGAATTCGAGTTATGCGGGTAAATTTTGATCAAGGGAAAAGGTAAGGAAACAAAATTTAGTCCAAATTAGCGGGGAATTTGAGTTATCCAAGTGGAGGTTAACTGAGTTTAAATGACTGAAAAGTGGAGTCAGATCCAAGGGAAAGGGGAATTAGTTTCAGTTAGCGGGGGAGTTCAAGTTATTCAAGTTCAAGTTACCAGAGTTCTACTGTATTTTTGATTTTTTCACTTTTTACAGCATGGCCTAACCACTTAGCATGAATAGCATTTGCTATTTCTCAGTGACTGTGATCTCTATATCTGCAAATACTCAGCCTAGAATCAATTTATTTTTCTTACATGTAAATCTTCAGAGCACAAATAAAGATTTGTATTGTTATCCTTGTTGTAATATGTCACATAATTTATTATACTTACAGTAAATGGAGTGTGGAGTTCTTTTCTGTTGTCAGTTAGTGATACAAGCTGGAGAGATAAAATTCAGCACAAGGGTGAAAAATTGACTACAGCCTAGGGCACAAAGTCACTCTAACAAATTTCATAACTCTCAAGTCAGACTATGCATTTCAACAAAATAGTTCTGTCCCGAAAGATGGTTGAATTAATGCAGTTCATCACACTTGAGGCTTTTGGTGAAGAAACAACATGACAAGTAAAAGATGTTCTTCATAAGAAGTTTCTAAGACTCCATGAAAAAACAAAATTAAAAACGTTGCACCATCACAGGTAATTTACAACCCTCAAAGCCTTTGAAAACTATGACAAAACAATCTTAGCAGATTTTCTCAGCAATGATTTATACTTAGGAGAGAAATGAACAAACAAGGATGTAAATTAAGTTAACACTTGCAGTACTGCAGTTTGAGATTTAAACCACAATGTCCAAACCCTTTCTGGGGAGGAAAAAAAAATCTACTTGCCCAGAAGGCCTGTACATTACAGTTTTCACTTGCCCCACTTAAATATGACTTGCTAATAGGGCAGACAAAAGTGTGATCAGAGGACGAATACACACAAAGTAAGCTTCGATTTTCAATTAATCAATGCTTCCAACTCAATTTCACTCACCCAGACCAACCAACCCTCGATGAAAGGAAATCTGAAGATTCTATAAAAAGTAGTGAGATTCTACTTTTTCCAGATAAACAATTAATGAATCCTTGTTTTTGCCATTTTTGCCGATTGCAATGGTGTTCACATGCTGCAAATGTCGCATGAACTTGCAAAGGCTACAAGGAAAGTCAACATAGAATTGAGATCCGGTTAATAATTAACTTTTGCCTCCAAAAACAGTAAACACAAGCACAAATCAAACAGTATGGTGCAAATTATTTAAAAATGCAATGGTAGGCAAGTAAAATTTTCTTCTATATTATCATATTATTTTTTGGCACTAGCATTCCTCATTAATTTTCCTTTTTATTCTTCAACAAGGTAATATGTCAGAATTTTCCCCAAAAACCATATGATTGGGAGTCTTGTCGTGAGGCCGTGAGAAAAGGTTAAAACTAGCAGCAGAATTGTGAGAGTTGGCAGGTCTGCTCATTTTGCAGTCTTGAGTTTGGAAATAGTTTCTGAGTGGAAATTATCATTCACCAAGCAATAATAATTATTATTTCACTTGGCCTACAAACCACCAAGCACTTACTTTCACTTGCACAAGAGAAACAATTCACTAGATCAGGACAATTGGTTGTGGATTTTTTTCCTGCCCCGCCTTTCAGCATGCGAAGATAATCAGTCTTCTAATAATCATTTTTACTAACCCCCCTCTCCCGACAAAAAAAATCTTCCCACTACCAGGATTATTGTTACTGATTTAAGTAAATTTTACATGATATTTTGATATCTTGCTGTACTTTTCTCAAGTTTTACATAAAAAAAAAACTTCACTTTCCCATCAGAAAAGGAAAGGATAGACTACATTAGCCCGAAAACAAAATGCAAGGCCCCAGACTATTCAACTTGTCTTTCTTTGTATACTATCCTTAGGTTTTGGTATACTAGAAAATTGGAGATGAAAGAATTTTATCCACATTATCTTTATTTGAAAGCTTCTGGAGAGCTAAGGGATATTTAAATTTCAAAATAGCCATAGAAACTGAAGTTACAAAAGGTCAAACAATTATTCTTCTTCAACAGAACGTTTTGTTATGCGCCCGCAAAGGACTGTGGGAGGAGAGGAGTACCAACCAGGATGGTCGCCATGTTTAACCGGAAAATGTAACTTTTTCGTAGTTTTAACTGTAGTGTACTTACCCAAATTCATTCAGCATGAAGAACAAGCCATAAAACCTATGTAATAAAATGAAAGCTTCCTTGAGCTTTAATGTATTATCATAAAATCGGCGAGACTGGAAGTTTCAAATTTAACAGTCAGATTCACGGCATTCCAACATCAAAATTATGTCCCAAAAGATGGTATCGATAAATGCATTTCAACAAATTCAAATACAATACAGTTGAGATAATGGCTTCCAGCAGGCAAGTTACTCACATTGAAAAGCTCTAGCACTCCACCAGAGGAACAACAAAGAAACTGCCCCCCTCGCAAATGTGCTGCGTCGCCCGTCACCCACTTACATGTGGAGGTAAGGATAAAGCCTGGGGACGAGAAACGGTATCGAGGCCACATGCAAAAGAGGCTGAGAACAATGCGCGGGAAAATCAATGAAATAACTGAAAAGATGAACTAAAACAAAGGACGGTCAAGCGATGGCTACGATCACATCTCTACCGGACTCCGTTATAATCCAAATTCTTTCTCATCTCGATTATCCTCGTCTTATCCGATGTACAAGAGTATGTACGAGATGGCACAGGCTCTGCTACGATCCCAGCTTGTGGAAAACGGTTGATATTTGGCAGAAACACGCTTCGAAAGTAGCAGCTGACACCATATCAAGGATCATACCTCGTAAGACAAATCTAATTTCAAGCGTTAATTTGACGAAATGTGCAAGCATTAAAGATGAGTCCTTGCAGCATATCTCAGTGCACTGTCCAAACTTGAAAAATCTTTACCTAAATGGATGTAACTTAATCACGGATCATGGCATTTTCGCTTTGGCGCGTAATTGTGGTGCTCTCGAAACGGTTTCGATTCCTTTGAGGAACATTTCCGACAAAGCGCTTTCGAGTTTGGTGAAAAATAACCCTGGAGTGAGAAAACTGTACGCTTACTCTATCGCAGTCACAGAAAATACCATCAAGGTCATTTCGACGGGATGTCCTGAGCTTGAAAAACTGATTGTCTACGAAGCTTCGTTGGAAGACGAACAACGCAGTTACGCTGATGTCTTGACCGATCAAATGGTTCGATACCTGGCAAGTGGATGCCGAAAACTAAGAAAGCTCACCCTAAGGTACAACCAAGTTCTTGTGACAGACAAAAGTTTGGCATCATTGGCAAAAAGATGCCGAAAACTAGAATCTTTCGTGATCGATTATTGCGACAAAGACGGCGGCATCACGGATTTTGGAGTTTGTACAATCGCTCAATTATGCCGAAATTTAAAATGCTTGAACATTTCGAACGGTGTAATAACAGACGTGTCGTTGATCGTGATCGCCGATCACCTGCCCTGCCTCGAGGATTTGTCTCTAGAATTTAGCGAAATTACCGATGTTGGCGTTTATGCTCTTATGAATAGATGCGAAAAACTGGCTAGGCTTATTGTCCATAATTCGGACAGTATGGAAACAGGTATCACGGACAACGCTGCCTGCGTGATCGCAAATTATGCGAGCGACGATTTTCGATCTTTGGGCCTTGGATTTGCCGACATAACAGACGAAGGACTAAGGACGATCTGCTTCAACGTGGAGCTTTCGTTTCTGTCTATCAATGGATGTAGCAAGCTCACGTATGAAGGCCTGAAATCATGCTTTTGTTATCTGGATTGCTTGTGGAATTTGGATATATCTTTCACGGACATTGTTAATGGAGATGAACAGCTGTTGGAGCTGGGCCGCTCGCTTCCGTGTTTAGAAACACTCGACATCACGGACTGTTTCAGTGTTTCACAAGAAAGCGTCAAGCTTTTCAAAGAAAAATTTCCTCATTGCAAAGTTAATATGTAGAAAGTAAAACCGGAGATCAGTTGAACCACCTTTTTCGACCTGCGCATAAAAATTTCCATTTTCATTGCGGAAGAAATAGGCTTCTTTGCCTCGATATAGTACAACTCATATTTCTTTAAGTCTGAATTCGCAACAGAAGTTCAAAAGTCTCTAGATTCAATTAAAATTTGACTCTTATTTGGCAGAGCAAAAGTTATAAAACGTTTCCTTTGTTAGCTGATAGCTTAGCTGTTTCATACATGAATAAAAATCAAAATACAATGGGTCAAAATGACTGCAATATTTCATTTATGAAAAGGCAGAAGGCGATTACCAGTACAAATTAAGGGTGAAAAGGAAAATATCTTTAATATTTATTATCTGGAAAATACTTTCTTTCCACGCTTTGCTGAAGCAAAATACCTTTCCTAATATGGAATTTATTTATACTTAACAAGTTGCTGTCAAGGTTAACTTATTGTTACAAAAGAATCTGAAAATAAATTTAAATGTAGAAAGATTATGAATGTGAACCTTAATTTTCTCTGTAGAAGTTAAGAGCAAAAAAAAATTTTGTGATATATTTCACCAGCTTTCACCTTTGCCCATGTTATTTTAGGTCACCCGCTTACCTTTCGAAAAACTACTCGCTGATATGTAAATATCTGTGTTATTATGCAGATATTTTGCAGGTAGATAATGACTTTTTGTTCACAACAGGTAAACTATGATGTATGTTTGGTTAGCTGCTGCTGTTATGGGCATGCATTAAGGCAGTATTTTTTGTGTTGTTAATAATGAACATTTCTTAGTTAAACAGAACCTGTTGTTTGCAAGGGGTGCTCTTACGAAATAAGGTGAGGTTCAACAGTGTAATCAAACAGAAACTCTTGTTTTCTAAACCAAAAGGCAAACTGTTTGAAGAGCTTAGGGTTACATGAAATGCAAGACCTTTATGACACAAACAAATGTTTTTAATGTTGAAAGTTTGTTTGAGCCACAGTTGGCATCATTAGTTTATGTGTAGCATGGTTTTATATTTGTTTTGGTCTATTTGAAATTGTTGTATCTTACTTCCTTTCAAAAAAGACGCCCAAGATATTTACGCTTTAGTCTTGATTGATATTATGGCATTGTCCTGGGTATTTTTTGATTAACATATTTACAGATTGAGCTTAATAAAGGATTTACAAAGATAAAAGATTTTTATTTTTATTTTTTTCTTTCTAGCTAATAGACTGATGGACACTTTTCAGCTACTGCTGCCTAAGACAGACATAGTGGCTAGAACACAAGTATGGTGGTGTTCGCTGTAATTCAAATTTTTCCCTGTATGATCTTATCTTTTCACACTGCAAATTAATGCAGATCAGGTGGTGAACAAAACACTATGCTAGCATTTGGAACAAAGTCTTAGTTTCAGTATTACTCTGATCAAAAGAGGAAGTCACATTCTTAGGGGAAGAATTTATTAGCCAGTTGGAACATATCCTTGTTTAGAGATAGGAAGTGAGACTTTTCAAAAGGAATTGAAAAAGATGAATAGGTGAAACACTAATGTTTGCTTTAATGGCATTTCCACCCACAGACCTTCTTGTCATCTTGCCACCAGTTAACTTCCTCTTGAAAAGCTAAAAGCAACTTCTGTTTCCGAGCATTTTGCATTTTCAAGTGAGAACGACAGGTGGCAACATTCAGTTAAAAAATACCTGAAAGCAGCTGGGGAGAAAGGAAAGGCTTTTAAAATATTAACAGCAATAAAGGAAAAACTATATGATAACAGATCAACTACCACAATTAAACTGAAGAAAGAATAATTAATGCTTAATGATTTGAGTTATTCAAAGAGATCATTTATCATTTACAGTTGAATCCCCATTTCTTGAACCATTCATTTTTTGAACCTCTGATAATTCAAACCCAAAAGTTGTTCCCTCCAGTCAGTCAAATACTGTAATCTTACCCCCGATTTCTTGAACCACCAATTCTTCAAATCAATTTTTGTTTCCCTTAGAGGGTTGAAAAATCGGGATTCCATGGAATGTGAAACTGAAAATTATTGTAATTGCCACTCTTTCTTAATTAGAACAGTTTTTGATTGCTAAGCAATTTTTTAAGTTACCTAGTTCACAAAATTATTTTTAAGACAGTGGGATAAAGTAGAATAAAGCCCACCTTATACTCATGTTCTTTTGTCATGGCAGCCACTTTCTTATCACCTAAAGAGAAGCTTAGTCATTAATTGTTGCTTATATGTATAAACAGATTTTAGAACCTCACATCTAGGTGGGAAGATTAACTGGGTTCCACAGTATTCAAAAACCGTACAGCTAGACACCAAAGGGCAGAGTTGAATTCTCAGTTTAACATGTGTATTATAAAGGGTACGATTACATGATATTCATTAAAATTTCTTGAGGAGGTAATTAGGAGAGGTTTGATTGTACAATTTATCCTGGAATCTTACACTCATGGGAAGTGAAAAACAGTGGAGATGAGGGAGTTTAAGATAGCCAAGTGTAAGATAGTAAAGTTGTACTGTATTATTCACAGTAGTAAGTCTGAGGGCCTCTTCATATGAGCTTGTTTACCAAGATCTTGCCTCACTCTGGTTTCCTTTGTTAAAATTTTGATGTGTTCTTATAAGGTGGGCCAGTCTGGTTACTGAGGCCTTGGTTTCTACAACCAAGATCTCAGCAACCAGGATGAAAATTTTCCCATATGAACACTCAAGCCCTGGTAGCTGGGACAGAAGTTTTTTGACAGAGTAGCTTCGCTTTCACAATATAATCCCAAAATTATAGAAAACTATAGACTGAAATAAACATAAAATGCCACAAAAATTCACATGTACCCTTACCACATCTGTAGAGCATGGTGTAATGGCTCATAACCCATGATGGCTAAGCCAATGAAAACTCTCAAATTGCATTACCCAAAGATCCAGTTTTTAATAGTAACCAATAAGAGATCAAGACATGAGATCCATGCGTCTGTACTCCAATAGATCATAAGTAAGAACCAATCAAAATGAGACAATAATTCTACATACATTTTGTATTTAAGCTTATGTAAGGCTGAACGTGCAAGCACAATGCGTTATTTTGACAGAAAACAGTAGCAGTTTGCCCCGATAACAATAACAGCACTCATTTTTCTGAGATGAATACCCTAGATAGAGCAAAGGAAAAATAAACAAAAGAGCTCTGGGATCTAGATCTGGACCCGGGATCTTGGCGAGCGTGAAATAAAGAGTTTAACAGGAGTTTTGCTGAAGTTAGCTCTTAAAAACAAAAAAGGCAGTATAAAAATTCCCACTGAATAAGCAAAAGTCAACGCCTATTGAAACGAGCCTAAAACCGTGTTAACGACTACAAACCTTGCACGACAGACTTGGAGAGCAACAAGATCGACTAAGGACTTTTAATAGCCACGACTTTGAAAACATATGCTGCCTGATTGGGTGCGTTCCTTTGGAATGATCTGGATCAAGATCAGACCAGAGTGGATTCATCGATCCCTTTGATGCAGTATGATCGATATGAGTGATCTGGGATTCAGATCACACCAAAGGAAGTTGCGAAAGATTCTCCATGTTGCCATCCCATGATGCTCCCCTTCCTTCGAGCTGTTTTTATGAGGCGCGGCTGCATAGCACCTTCTCTCCTGTTGCACGCTCGAGGAAGAAAACGTGAAAGTCTGAAAACTTAACCATGTCTCGCAAAAGAAAGGTTGTCGCAGACGAGGATGAAGATCCAACGAAGATCGAATTCGAAACATCAGAAGAAGTTGACGTTGTACCAACGTTCGACCAGCTAAAACTTCGCGAAGATTTGCTTCGAGGAGTTTACGCTTACGGTAAGTGTGGTGTTGGCTAATGACGCCATGAAACTTGGCATGTGTTTAGACATTGTGCAGTCGTTTAGGAGTGATTTTATTCCGTTCTAGGTTTCGAAAAACCATCGGCAATTCAACAGCGTGCTATTAAACCGATTGTGAAAGGAAGAGATGTGATTGCACAGTGAGTTTATCCATTTCATCTGACTTCTTATAAATGTTTATTTTGAATACATTTGTTAGCTTTAGTCTGTAAACTACAGAAACCTGATTTCTTGTTTCCATGTTAGTTTGTTCCCTTATTTCATGGTGCAGTTTGTAAACAGTGTCAACAACTGTATGTAGATATAGTATATACATTAACGCTTTGATTTAAAAGTAGAGGACAAAATCTTTTGCCTGATCTGTAACTGCTCTGACTGATTACTTGGTAATTTTTGTATATAGTAGAATTGCCGCCCGGGATAAATTTGCTAAGACCCGAGGTCATTGCTACAAGCCTAAAGTGTTGATCCCAATAAGTAGTCAAGGCTTTTTCTTCAAGTCTGGATACAAACTGCTTTATATGTACATGTAGGCTTGTGGGAAAACAAAATGCTCCAGATTTAAAGCTCAAGTCAACTCCAGGTTGTGGCAAGATAAGAGAAATCTTATAGAAAACCATTTTCGTTGAAAACTGTGCCAAAGTTGTCTGCCGATCAGTGGCAGTAGTGGATCAATTTATCATATGTAACATGTGATCATCCTTTTTTACATGAAGATGAAGCTACTTGCATTTTTCTGATGTTGGGCCACGTCAGTCTGCAATGATGAATTACAGTTACATGTTTAAATGTAAGAATTGTTATGTTTGAGCAATACATGATTGTTCATAGCCATCTTATATCATTCTAGAGCTCAATCTGGAACAGGAAAGACGGCTACTCTCTCCATCTCAGTGCTTCAGTCAATAGATATTCAGGTTTGTTAATTGCTTGTAAACAAGGTTTAAGTTTAAGGTACATGTACTTTGCAACATACAAAGAAAAGAAAGGAAAAAGATGGCAAGGGAAAACTTAATTCGCATTCTAAGGACACTCTCTTTTTGTTAAGTCAGGAGCTTAAGTGTATAGTATATTACATAGAGAGGTTTGCTGTGGGTATTTATAACAGATTTGAAGAGACTATTGTTAAAACAATAATTCTGGATGTTTTACAGTGACAATTTACCCATGATATTGTATGCAACAACAAAAATGACAAGTTTTGTCTTAACAAATAGCAAAACTCTAATTTATAAGTTTATATTTTTATTAGCGATCTGATATTTTTTGATCATGGATTAAGGGTCTGCTTTGTTTTCAAACTTGAAACAGCTCTCAGTTGTTGGTGGGATCTCGGAACACCCAGCATTCATGTACTTGTGCGATGGATACTCACAAATAATTTAATTTTCCTTATTACCAACAGACAAGAGAAACACAGGCCTTGATCCTATCACCAACACGCGAACTTGCCCAGCAAATTCAGAAGGTGAACTTGAAGTTGTTTTATGTAGTACCGGTATTTTTTATTTCATAGGCTTGAGGCTTCTCTTTCTGAGAGGATGAAGTTATGTAGTTTGTTCATGTAACACATTTGAAAAGAAGTGAGATGAATATGGATTAACTAGTCAGTGGGAGGTGATGAACTTGTACTGTACAGTGTAGCTTGATGACTTCACCTCCAAATACCCAAGACTGATCGACATCTACATCCTCTTAACAACATCAATGCATTCTCAAGCAGAAAGGTTATGACAATCTACATGTAGAAGTTATCAACTAGGGAATAAATTTTCTTGATATACCACCAAATGCTCACTGCTAATATCATTTGTGACAGTCAGTAAGGTGATTGAATTAAAATTTGGAGTTGGCATAGTTGATCCTCACTATCCATCAGTCTAAATACATGTACATAATACTGCTGCTTTTACTCATTTATCTTCAGGCAGTTCACATTAGTGTTGGCTTGGAATTTCTTCACTTAGTGATTGATTAAGAAACTTGCACCATTTCCTTAACCAATTAGACCAAACCATTTATGTCTCTTTCACATACATTTTTCCATGCTTCAAGTTTTGATTGGTTCACTGATTGTCTACGTCCTTTGTAATTGACCAAAGTCATTATTTTGGTTTTGGTTTTACAGCTTTCATTTCAAAATTGTTCTTATTCTAAAGTTCTCCAGTGTGATGAAGTGCATTAGTTCAAACCATCTTTCGGGACAGAACTATTTTGTTGAAATGCATATTCTGACTTGAGAGTGCACAAGTGATCAATCACCTAAAGTGTGTTTGAGCACAGTCTGTTTTGTAAGCAACACAATTTGTTTCTCCAGTTGTCATTACTTAGTCAGCACTACAATATAATATTTATTGTTTACAGATTGAGCTTGAAATCAAATCACCTCTGCTAAAACTGTTCCAATCCTTGAAATGAGATGGTTCAGAGTCAAAACCTCTTATTGAACAAGAGCATATATCTAAAAGTGGGACTGAGACTATGACTCACTGACTATTCATTCATAGAAAACAAGGGCAAGACTTGGTAGTTTAGGGGTGCAAAAAATTTCCTTTGGAATGATCTGCATCGGACTCAATCATCCAAGACTAATATTGAATCACGATGCCTCAAAGGAACCGATGAATCAATTCTGGGCAATGATTTATCAACTGTGCATTCATCCAAAAAGGAATGTACCCTAATTGTTTTGTCAGAGTATAATCCGAAATTTATAACTTTGTATTATTTTCAAGCCAAAACTCATTTATTTAGAACAGTGTACCTTTGAAGCACATTGTGTTACAATGACTGCATGATCATGTTCTACCAGGGAATAGATTTTAATGGGAAAACCAATCAGTATCAAACTTTTCCAATAGAACAAGTCAGGTGTCTACTGCATGTAATTTGTGTTAAAGTTCAAGTGAAGGCTCGTGATAGTCATTATCATCGATTTTTAACAGGTTATTCTTGCTCTTGGTGATTACATGAGCATTCAGTGCCATGCATGTATTGGAGGAACAAATGTTGGAGAAGACATTAGAAAACTTGATTATGGACAGCATGTTGTATCGGGAACACCTGGCAGAGTCTTTGGTAAGGTGTTCATGGCCTTGTTTCCAACTTTACTTGACTGTCCGTTTGTTTGTTTTTTCAGGTACAACTTGTAAATTTGTTTCTAATTTATGCATCTAAAGGTTTACTTTATATAGTTTTGTAGTTGCATTCCTTTGGGATGATCCGGATCAGGATCAATGATCTAGTAAGAGCATTCAGATCATAGTGTGTCAAAGTTACGGACAAATTAGTTACCAACAGTGAATTCATTGGCTCCGTTGATGCACCATGATTGGTGTGATCTTGGAGCACTGACCCTGATCTGGATCATCCTAAAGGAAAGCACCTGAAGGCAATTTCCCTTCTTTGATTAATACTTTAATGTAAGTGATTATTTTGTTTTTCACTACAGACATGATCAGGAGAAGAAGCTTACGAACCCGAGCAATAAAACTGTTAGTGCTGGATGAGGCAGATGAAATGCTAAACAAAGGTACGCATGGAAGCAATGGTCAACTTCTGTTCTCTGAACTTAACAATTTCCTACTTGTAAACTTGCGGCTCTTTTGCCCCACTGGGGGCCATAAGGACTGATGATGATGATGAACCAAGTCTTGACATGTTAATCGCATATTTTCTTTTTCAGGTTTCAAGGAGCAGATCTATGATGTATACAGATATCTTCCCCCAGCAACACAGGCAAGTTACACTGCGCTCTGCAGGGATGTGTTTAGTAGAAAGGAATTGTGATCAATTGTTGTTCTGTTATGTCACCCTGTGAGAGTCTAATGCAAACATCTCTGTCTGTAGTTTCCCTTGTCATCTTGGCCTCTTCTGCTTTTTAACTTTGTGTTCTGAGATTGGACATTTAGTTCACTACAGTACTCTTTAACCTTTGAATGTTGTGTTATCAGATGCCCCATATACATGTAGCTTTTAAAGATGATATGCCATGCAAACAAATGGCATACTGGTTCACAAATATTTGTATTGTTGATTATTGTTACCGTTGTATTCATATTCAGGTTGTTCTTCTGAGTGCGACCCTACCACATGATATCCTAGAAATGACAGAAAAGTTCATGACGGACCCTATTAGGATTCTTGTCAAACGGTGAGTTCCTGTTGGACATTTATTACTAGCGAGCCTTAGCTAGCCTTCCTTTCTTAAAATTTAAGAAATGAAGTGATCTAAGTAATTTGGCACAACCCATACTAATGAACTTTGTTTGTCTTAGTGATGAGTTGACATTGGAAGGGATAAAGCAGTTCTTTGTGGCTGTGGAACGGGAAGAATGGAAGTTTGATACCTTGTGTGATTTGTATGACACTCTCACCATAACACAGGCTGTCATTTTCTGCAACACCAAGAGAAAGGTTGGTCTGGTTAGATTTTATAAAAATTGTTCTTAAATTTGGTTATTGTTTGCTCCCTGCATTACTATTATATTCAATTTATCTACTTTAATGAGAATTTAACAAAAGAATGTTGTTTAGGTGGACTGGCTTGCAGAGAAGATGTTGGAAGCTAACTTCACTGTTTCGTCGATGCATGGTGACATGCCACAGAAAGAAAGAGATGCCATCATGAAAGATTTCAGAACAGGGCAGAGGTACATATATACAATTAAATATCTAATCTTTCACCATAACGAAATTATGTAAATTTTTATACTTTGGTTTTTTAATTGGGCCGATTATTTGTTTGAAATGAGTTGTACTTTGGCAGCACGCAAAGAGAGTCATGTCTGATAGCCTAGTGCTTGTAGACTTTTCTGTCGGGCTGGTAGATTGGAATTCTATCCTTCACGATGGGTATTGTAACAGATCAAATAATGGTATGATTTTAGTTTTAGCTTTTCACTGAGTATTGTGTTATTTGGAGAATTTTTAGGCCAGTGAAAATGATGTGACTGTTGGGCTAGTACAAATATGTTGTTTGCTGTTTGGGAGGACCCTTGTGGGAAAAACTGTGCCCAAGGTCTTGAGTGCAGCCCTCAACCTACGACTCAGGCCATACTCAGGACCAAGTGCACAGTTTTTCCCAGTACAAACCAACCAGGGTGGGCAAATAACAATTTTTTTTCTCCATGATATTGCTTTGAAAGCAGCTTTTGTCTTCAAATTGACATTTATTTGGAGAGTTGAAAGTAGTTCTTGATTGCTAGCTGCCATTTTGCCCATTTCTGACCTGCCATGTTGTTCTGTTTCTGCCTCAGTCGAGTGTTGATATCAACAGATGTGTGGGCCAGAGGTATTGATGTCCAACAAGTGTCTCTGGTTATCAACTATGACCTTCCAAACAATCGTGAATTGTACATTCACAGGTATGTGTACTGCTTGTGATCTCCTGTGCCCCAGGTTTTGCATTTAAGGCCATGGTTTGTCATGTGTGAAAACAGGGTTTGACCAGATAATACTGAACAATTTGCAATTTTGATTCCAAAGCAGTGGCGTATCTAGGGGAGGGGCCCAGGGGGCCTGGCCCCCCCTTATTTTGGGTAAAAAAAGGAAAATCACAGAAGGAAGAAAAGCTGGCAGGGCAATCAAACCCTCCCCCCCTAGCTCAAGGTCTGGATCTACCACTGCAAAGTTATTTAATAGGCCATATCCGAGTTACCTTGTGCCTCTGCTTCAAAAGGAATTGTCATGCAAAACCTTTCATATGAAAGTGATTTGCATGAGAGGAAGCTCATTTTCATATTGAATGGTTTTGCACGAAGACTCGTTTTGACATGAGGCAAAAGGCAACTCGGAAATGGCCTATTAAATAACTTTGCAGTGGCGGATCCAGACCTTGAGCTAGAGAGAGACTGACGAGTAGTTTTTCAAGAATTTACTTTCAGTTAATTGCTGCTGAATACATGTATAATGCTGTTTTGTGTGTCAGACTCTAGTAATGGCATGAAATTCTATTTTAGGATTGGTCGTTCAGGTCGGTTTGGCCGCAAAGGTGTTGCCATCAACTTTGTGAAGTCAGATGACATTCGAATTTTGCGTGATATTGAGCAGTACTACAGCACACAGATTGATGAAATGCCCATGAATGGTATGTTTACCTTATAGAGGTGGAGTTAAAATCAACAAGGAGGATGGGGGGGGGGGGGGGGGGGGGGGGGCAATAAAATCATGGTCACTAAAAAGTCAAGGAATTTTATTTTTAGTCATGGAAAATTGACGTTTTGAAGAGAAGTCAGTGAAAATTGAAATTTTAAGTATGCCGATGTAATACCTTTGAAAGCTGGAAGAAGCCTTTCAGGTCACTGTGATGTCAGCGATGCTCTGGTCCTCAACGAAGACAGCGAATTTGTTGTAAAGTGGTTGGAAGGGATGGCAGTTAGAGGAGGCTGGAGGCCGCTTCTAATCTGGCATTTGAATTTATTTGGTCAGGGAAATGTTATTTTTATCAGAGAAAAGTCACGGAAAAGCCAAAAATCAGAGAATTTGGAAATCTGAATTCTGTGCCACCCATGAATCTAACAATCTGTTACTGTTTAAAGTAGACGTTCTGTGACCATTAAGTGTAAAAAAGAATTAAAACTACAGTGTAATTTGTGTACATAGCAGAAGTTACTTGTTTGTAACAGGTCATAATATATTAAGACATTCCTGTAACAAAAAGGATCAAGTTTAATAGTTAGTTTTTCTTTTTAGGTAAACAGCAACCACTGTATGATCATTACTGGACCAAATATGGGAGGAAAGAGTTCTTACATCAAACAGGTGCAAATCTCCAACTCTAAACCAACGATATTATCCTTTCTTTGGCTATGAAGGAGCTTTCTGTGAAATATGACAAGGTTAAGTATGATTGAGAGTTCATATAAGAAGACGAGAAAAGGAAAGAGACTTCATGAAAGAAAAAGACGAGACTCCACTAACAGAATTGTTTCCTAGTGTTTAAGTGAACAAGCTAACGATTGTTTGATCGCACGAACGAACGACTGGATTGAACGTGAGATCGAACGAAACGACGCGAACGACACGAACGAACGAACGAGCGAACGAACGAAACAGAGGGACTAAGGAGCGAACGAACGCCCCACACGCCCGCACGCCTGCACACCCGCACGAACGAACGAAAGGGGAAATAAACGAACGATCGAACGCACGAACGAACGAACCGGAAGGAGTGAATTAATAAGTTAACCGAACCATTCTGTCAAAGATCATGTCAGTCAACCCGACCATGTTGTCGAAGATCATGTCAGTCAAGTTGTTCATGTTAAAGTCCAGCCAAAACATGACTCAAACCTCCCCTCGTAGGTTGCTTTGATTGCTATTCTGGCCCAGGTCGGCTCGTTTGTGCCAGCCGAGGAAGCACGGGTTGGAGTCTTGGACGCGGTTTTCACCAGGTACAAATTGAACATTGAAATCACTTTTTTTTTTCTTAAGTACCTGCACTCTAGTAATTTTGTTAAATTTCTTTTGTGTTTGTTGTTATTTGTCGATAGAATGGGAGCTACAGACAACATTTACAAAGGGCAAAGTACGTTTATGGTCGAACTGCAGGTAAATTTATTCTACTTAATCTCTATTTCAACTGTAATTAAAATCAGGTTGGTGTAACCAATTTGTACAAACCTGCTTTATTTTCCGTCAACGAGGTGATAATCCGTGAATTTCCTCAGCGGTCAAAGTCCTTGCGCGCGCATTTCTCGTCAAAACTACCGCTTATGAAGGTCTCAAATTGTCGAAATGCTCCAATTTAAACCCAACAAATGAGGCAGTCACTGAAAAGTCAAGCTTTGTACTCTGCATATCATTATGCATAGAGAATTAAATAATTGAAATCCGCCTATTTTTCAACTTGTAATTTTGTTTATTGCTACTCGTCAGTTTTGTAACGTTCATACAGAAGAGTTGTACATTTTTGCTTCAAGCTCTTACAAACATCGAGGCAGGAGGCGTGCGATTTTTGCGCTCGACCGCTGTGAACCATGAATTGGTTTCTCCAAATCTCCCGCGCTTTCGTCCGGTTGCAAGTTTTTACTGAGAGTTCTCATTGGTTCTTTGCGGTATTTGGAGGCAATGTCATTAGCTAAGAATGACATTCATTACAGAAAGCTCTTGAACACGTTACTGTCTTTCTTATTGTCGTAGGAAACTTCTGATATAATTGCCCAGGCCACACCGAAGTCACTTGTCATTCTGGACGAGCTGGGCCGGGGTACTAGTACCCATGATGGCACGGCCATTGCGTATGCTACTCTACATCACTTCATTAGTCAGGTAGGTTTTGACTCAAGACAAAAAAATGCGCTACTAGCAGAGTCGGCCCTGGCAAACCCTTGGCCTTGATACGTAATAGATACCCTCGAACTTTTTTGCGTCCTCGGCAAAAAGGTGTTTAGGAGAAATTTTAGTTCTCTGTTTCGAGCCTTAAAATTTTTCCAATCAATTTTCGCGCCCAGGGTGGTTTGAAAAATCGTGATTCCACTGTAATAAAATTGAAGGCTTTAATCCTGAATAAAGAATTGATTGACTGAATAAAAACATTTTAACAGAGCGTGAAACAAGGAAAATCTGTTTATTGTATCCGGCGTGTAATAACGCCTCGTCCACACTACGCCGGAGAAATTGAAGACGGCGTCATTACTCTGAAAATGCATCAAATGTTTTTCGTCCACACTACGCAGGAGAATCTGAAAATGCAACAATATTCGGTCATTTTGAATTTGTGTTTGAGGAAAACTCAGACAGGGAAATCACGTGATTTTTGTAACGCCATCGTTTTCGGAAAGCTCTGTTTTCAAACTGTTTTCCGTCCATATTAAAACGCAAAGCCGGCGTTGTCAAATTGCTTCAGTTTGAAGAGCGTTTACGAAAAGCTCCGTTTACGCGACAGATTAGTGTGGACGGTAGGCCTAACCATAGAAATAAAGATGCTTTTTCAAATTTCTCCGGTGTATTGTGGACGGGGCCTAAATCTATATCATTGGCATGTAAAGAAGCCAAAAACTATCTATTATACTGCCAATAACACTCAAGTATTTTGAGCAAATAGCACTTGTCAATGGCCCTTACTTTGCTTCTATTTTGTTCGCAATTACCTCTCATGTATTACGACAGTGTATCACATAGCTTTGGATGATTTAAAGGTTGAGAGTTTTGCAAGACGCGTAGAAAACTCTTTTAAGGGTACTGCTGTTCTTTAGTTCATCGTTTTCATTAAAATGTTATCCCCCCAACAGGTTTCCAGCCTGACTCTCTTTGTAACACATTATCCGTCACTAGCCGAGCTCGACGCCATCTTCCCAAACCAAGTCACTAACAACCACATGGCGTTTATGACGTCAGAAGAGGAACAAGAGCAACAGAGCACCATACAGGATACTGGGGGAGGGGAGGCTGAGGAGCAGCACTTACCGTCTACTGTACCGTCGGTGACGTTCTTGTATCACTTGGTGAATGGAGCTGCGGCGAGAAGTTATGGCTTAAATGTGGCTCGCTTAGCAGGCGTTCCAGAGGAAATACTCAAAAAGGCTGCCGCAAAATCACGAGAACTGGAGAACTTGATCACAACAAGACGGTGAGTGGCTTGCAATTAAGCAATGGAATTTCACAAGGACATATTGCACAGTGCAATGTCATATATTTTGTAACAAACCGTGCAACGGACAAAGCCGTTTCGAGACACGTTTCTGCAATGGTGCAAAAAGTATAACCCCGAAGGTATAGACATTCTTCATGTTGGCTCGTCACGCATTCCTCCTTAACGAAAGATTTCGTGACGAGCACCCCTCTCCCTCTCCCTCCCCCCCCCNCCCCCTCCCCCCTTCCCCGGCCCCTCCAAAAAAAATCACATCTGCGTGAGGCTACAAAAAGTACTGCTAAGGCCTACTTACAGCAACCTCGTTCCCAGGCTCTCTCTCGTTTGCCTCCCTTGTCAACAAGGGAGGCAAAGTTGATAGAGCCTGGAATCAAGGTTTAACTTATAGTTGTATTATGCTTCCCGAGTTTTTGCTTCCACATGACATATTTTTGTTGTTGTTGATTTTTCCCTTCTCAAATTTCCCAAATGGCGTTTGAGGCCAATCTTCCCGGAATTTATCTTGAGTATCCTCGAGATATTTCCAGCTTTGCACGGGACTCCAAAATTTTGATGTCGCTTCATTTCAGTTTAAACAGCAAGTGAGGTAATTTCCAGTTGTTTCTCATAAGGTCATAACTCAAAATTAGGAAAATCGCCATATTTTCCCCAAGTAAAGATTGTCACCCGATTTGGTATGTCCCGTGCAAAACGGGCATTTTTAGCGTTCTTTGCTGGTAGCTGGCAGTGATAAGTAGGAAGCTGGGAAAAGGGACGAATTTGTTTCGGTCTGAACATGAACTGGGAATATGTACCAAGCAATGGCTCTGCACTTGCATTGTACATCTTGTAAGATTGTTGAGGTGTCCTCTAAATGACCCAATTCTGCGTAGTTTGCATTGGGCAACGGGAAACACGAAGACTGTTTCTTAATTCTTCGTGGTTTGCAGTGGGCAACGAGAAACACGACGTCTGGTAATTGAACGCTCTGCTTGCGCATTCAGCGGAAGCTGGTTCTTAAACCAAAAAATGCTCTGAATAGATGTAGATTCTCAAGTAAATCTTAACTTTCTGGGCTTAAGTTCCTTAAGGTTCAACTGCAACGCTGAGGACAACGTCACTTCTAGAAATTAATTGATTTTACTAAGAAATCTGATTGTTGGTCACATCCGTTCAGTGTGTCTATTGTTGTCAGAACTAGCACAGGACAGCGTTAGTTTTAAAATAGAAATGTGAAAAATATCAAAGCCGTCAAAGTTTACGTTCTCAGAAAAACCCAGAATTTTGACATCTCATGATGTTTAGGATGGGAAAATGCAACGGATTTAACAATTCTTGATCAGTTCTTGTTTTGCTTCACTTCCTCTCAGTTCCATCAAGACTAGTTTCCAAGACTTGTTTTCAAGCAAGCCGGTCACACTCGAGACGATTGAACACCTACGGATGGAATTGGAAAAGATTGCATCTGAAGTATAGACAAACATTTGACTGCAGGCCTTGATCTTATAGTCAATCAACTTTTTAAGCTTTTGTTTGCAGAACTACACGCACTATCTGAAGTCAAATTAAAGTGGGAAACAGTTCCTTTTGTTGACTTTTTCGTGTGCGTCAGTCTTAAAATGTCTAGAGAACACTATTTCACCCACTGCTCCCTTTTTCAAGGGAAAAGTCTTAGCACGGCCTAGGGACTGAAAGTAGGGAATGTTTGAACGTCTTCGGAAATCTTGGGAAGGTCCTCGGATATCTTTCGATGTCTTCGGGTATGTTCGGGTCTCTTTGAATTCTGGCTAGTCCCAGGATTTAAAAAGCTCAAGCTTGTGAATCGGAAAGAGTAGGCAGATATGTGAAGGGAAGTGAAACATTTTGTTAGTTTCCCTTGTCTTTGTTATAATAAAAGCTCGAATGTGAACAGCCTTGGCGATTATATCGAGTTGGTACTGGAGAATATTACTGCGCTTGATCCAGATTCCCGCATGCGGCTTAAATAGTGCTCCACTGACCTAACCAACATAACTAACATTCGCAGAAGAAGGGAGAACTTGATAATTAGCTCGTTTTGTTAGGAATGTTTCTTAACAAAAGGCGCTTCTCCTTACTTTGTTTGCGTATGTTGCTTGGACTTACGCTTATGCGCTAGGAAAGGTTAAGTCTGCATGCGAGCCTAGTGGCCCATCATGTCGAAGCTTATCCCGGTTTCTGTAGTATGAAGCGACTAGGAGTATTTCTACTCCACCCTGGATGGGATGGTAGACCATCGCAGGGTCACCCCCAGCATTAAATTCGCCGGTACTCATTCATACACCTGGATGGAGAGAGGCATCGTGAGAGTTAAATGTCTTAGCCAAGAACACAACACAATGTCCCCGGTCAGGGCTCCAAACCAGACCGCTCAATCCGGAGACGAGCGCGCTAAACATGAGGCCACCGCGCCTCCCACAATGCGCTACTGGAAGCCAGCCTTAATTTGTCATTGTTTAAAACTGAAATTAATGGGAGGAGCCCATAATTATCTCCCACACCTCTGCTACAAAAGATTGACCGTGATCTAAGAATTGCCGTATTTATCGACCAGTAAATAACTCGATTGAGACAATGACCCAAGCGCTTGTCACAAGACCCGGGCACCGGTGGCATTTGTTTTGAAAAGGTTTTCCCCTCTGATGGTATTTCAGTTATATTTCTGAACCTTGCGCTAGTGAATAAAAGTAAATATTTTGACAAAATACCGTGCCGTAACAAGGGAGTGTCCTTCTCGAGATAATGAATTTATCGTAGCTTTGCTTTGACTGCGGGTTGTTTTTCAATTCCTTCACGTAATTTACCTTAAATAAATAATGATTGAATGTGTCCAACCAATAGAAATTCCTCATCATTTTTGACATGAAATATAATTCCCGGGGATCATAAATCGTTAGTGTTTCTGTGGTTTCCATCGCCAAAATGCTGTCAGTTTTCGCTTTTTTTGCGTTACTTGGTTCTTCTGCCTGTCTTGGTTCCGAAAACGTGTACCATCTAAACGAGCGGGATTTTGAGAGTCACATCCGAGACAAGGACATTATGCTTGTAGACTTCTTCGCGCCATGGTGAGTAGAATCAAATATTGACATTTTTTGAATGGTGTATTTCACGCTTGGATGCGTTAGTTACCTGAGAATATTAAATGTATACCGCTGTTTGTACACAAGCGTGACTTTGCTGAGAGCCTATACTTCTGTAGCAAATCTTCATCTAATTTCGATTACGAGTCGAAATCGCCAAAATCACGATTCAGCAACAACAAGTTCGAACGATATTTTTGTCTCTGTCCCAGAAAACGAACATGTACTTTTCATAGGTTTATTTCTTAAGTTACAACGAGATATTCTTCAACTCAAACGTCGCTGAGTTTAGTAGTTATAAAATGTTTTTCGTAATGAACGAGCTGCTGTTTTGCTATTTGATTTTATCAGCAAGAAGGAACTTAGCAGGTAAATCTGGCTGCGCAATGTCTTGCTTAACTTTGCACTTAAAATGAAAATTCCCTTTTGTATTAATCGTAAAATTTCTATTTTACAAAAAATCATTAAAGTGGCTTGACATGGTTGAATCGTAACCCATACAGCTTCTGCCTGGATTCTAAATTGAAGGCGTACTCGAAATCAAGTGGAAAAATAGTTGTGTTTTGATCGTTTTTAAAACAAATGTCATGAGCTGTTCTGATTACAGGCACCCGAGAATCAACAACGTCAAACGTCAGTCAATTTGATTGACAATTTAGGATACCCTTGTTGTTCATTACATTGTTCCGTATTCAACCATTTTTCGCCTAACATTTTAACCCCTTGATCAACACAACTTTTAACATCTTAATGTTGAATTTTATTTCACGGCTAGCAAGTTTTCCGTTCACAAAACACCAGCCTGTCAGGATTAAATTTACTTCTCAGCCACCTGTACGTCAAAACAACTTGTGTAAATTAATAATCGCTGGTAATCTTTTTTTGTTTTTGTTTTTCCATTTCCTTCTCTGATAATGTGACCAACTTGGGGAAGAAACTTGCTTATAAAAGGCTCCTTACCCAGTGTGCATTGCGTGCATTTTGCGGCCATTTTCGTGACAAGGGCCTCGGCGCAAACGAAGCGCCAAATTATAACCCCGCCAAATGATCGACAGCTAACCTGCCTAATAATGGCACCTTTGATCTCAGTTTTTTTTTTTTATAATTAAGCCTTGCATTTCGGTGAAATGACACATTCTGTACGTACTCTATCCTTTTTTGTTAGAAAATGCGATTTAAAGTCAGATGACCTGTTTGCATCAAGTTATGATTGAAAATATGTTGGCGAACAAAGAATTTCAGAAAAATGACGAGTCAAAACAATCGTGTTATCGTGGTCATGCCATAAATGCGTTTAATTACTAGATGCTTAGGTTTATGTTCCTGTAACATTGCACACTCTTCATTTCGTTTTATTTCCCTTTTTTTCCGTGAGTATCAGTTTTATTTTTGCGTTTTACGCTGTTTGGTCTTCAGCCACAGTACCTAACATCATACAATGTCGTGAACTTCTGACAATATTCATTCTTGTTTTCTCTAGGTGCACACATTGTCAACAACTCAGTCCTGAGTTGGACGCAGCTGCAGACCAACTCGCTACAAAGAACCAGTTTGTTTTTGCTAAGGTGAGTTGCTCTACACTTACTTTGCCATGCAATTGTTGTGTCAGTGGGGCTGTCACGTACGAGTCATTGAACGTGTGTCACGCAACTGCTGTGCTAGTTAGGCTTTGTCGTGCAATGGTTGTGTGTCTGAGGAGAATTGCATAATTGTTGGTTGTCACTTGAAAGGTCCGTGTTTTTCCTTATATTTTAATCCGCTATTCTCTTTCAGACAAAAACTCATTCACATGGAACTAAACTTTTGTTTTACTTATCGTTAAATAGCAAAAAAAAGTGCTAGGAGTCCCTCAAGCATCTCAAACTAGAGATGAATAAAAACACTTAAATACCCAAAATTTACATTCTGCTCAGCGAAAAAAAGACTTGGGGTGATACTGTAAGTCTCCCACTTTAATGAACACAGAATTAATTATCTCTGTTTTACAGGTGGATTGTGTAAATGACGGCAAACAGTTGTGTCAGCGGTTTAACATACAAGGTTATCCTACCATCAAACTATTCAAATATGGTCAATACGTTGGTGACTATGTTGGACAACGAGACAGAGGTAAGTAATGGGACCTTTCCTTCGATTTGTGAGCCATTTTATGAGTTACCAAAATGACTGTTCATGTCTGTATGGCCCCTTGAATTTAATGAACACTGTTATGTTCTGCGCAGGCTCACTGATGCAATACGTCGATTCAGTGGCGTCGTCTTTCAGGCAGACTGCACCACTGACCAGCGGAGCGTCCACACCCTTATCGCTGGCTCAGGCCATTAACTACAGGCCTCACGCTCAAGTGCTCCCCTCACACCATGCCTCCGCTATTCACGTTCCCGCCCCGGCCGTTGCACCGACATTTATGAATCATGTGAACATGCACCAGAAGAACCCGTCTCTGATGCATTCCTTTTATGGTTCCTCTACGCATGCGCAACAGCCAGGAAATACTGCTGCGTTTCTTGGCTCAAATCCTCTGCTGCAGCAAGCGAGCCCAGACTCCTTGCAGTCCAAATTTGGCAACTTGGCGTCACTGGACGTGTACAGGGCCAAGTTGAAAATGATAGCAGCTTATAAAAATTATCAGCGTCGCCTTAAAGAGTACAGAACCAAACTCACGGCCGCCAGTAAAACAAACGTAAATCCAGGTCCTCAAGGGTATGCAGGCGCGGTTACTCGACCGCCTCGTCCTGGTGTGAACGCATTTGCTCAGCCTCAGCCCTATCGCGGATATTATCGACCCGAAGCTTTGGCAGCTCAGAATGTACAGATTAACCGTGCGTATCCCCAGGCCGGATTCGGAGTAAATAACATGGGTTATCCGAACCGGTTTGGAAGTCCATACGGTTATCAAGCTGCAGCCAGCAGTCCGTATTATCGAAGTAAAACGTTTCACGGGGGAAAGCGGCATCATGGTAAGCAAAGAATGCCCGCTCCTCGTCCCGCTGCCGTAAGGAAACCCGCATACAACCCTCGACAGAGAACAGCGCAAGTAAACAACCAAGCAGCTTATTATTACAAACAAAAACAACAACGGCGGCAACAACAGTTTTCACAGCAACCACAACAAAAACAACAACAGTTCAGGAAAGATGAACAACAACAACAGCAACAACAACAGCAATTTAGCCAACAATCGCAGGGACAGCAATTCCAGCAAGAACCACAGCAGCAATTTAGACAACAGTCGCAGGGGCAACAATTCCAAGAAGAATTTCCACAACAGCAGCAACAACAACAACAACAACAACAACAACAATTGCAGCAAGAACCACACGAAGACCAAACGAATAACAAACAACAGCAGGATAACAACAAGCCACAGGTATTCAAATAGATAACCTATTTTCAGTTTATCGTTTTACCTAGTACAAGAAGTGTTTTTCGAAAAGTCGTACGGACACTTGCGTCAACAGAATAAAATTTGAAGGAGGGGAAAGAGAGCTTTGTTTCCCTTAGTCGAAAAAAAAAACCCTCTAATTTTCTTGGGTTGGCAATTTTCAATTTTCAGTTGATTGTGTGAACTTTTTGACCTTATTCGTATTCTCGGTATTGGACTGGAACTAGCATGCAACTGAGGCTAATGCGGGAAGTCTCTTTAAATGCAAACGACATTAATCTCTTTTTAATGATATTCCCCCGCATGAGCCTCTATTGCAAGCTAGTTCCAGTCCTATACCGAGAATACGAATGTGGTCTAAAAGAAATAATTTTCTGTCACTTAACAACTAAGTCTTTTGGTCATTCGAGATAAAATTGTCAAAATCTCCGAGGTAAAACAACGCAACAATTTAACCCAGAGACACCATTTTTGTTGCGTTTACAAGCTTTTAATGTTAAGTCCATTGTGCTGTTTGTAGGCAAACCAAGCCGTTGACAAACTAGCCCTACCCACCCCTGGGCAGTCAAATGACGCGCCAACAAAGCCAGACACTTCAGCTCTAAAGGATCTCAAGGCAGACATCGAGTCCGCCATCCAAGATGCATTGCGAAACGCTGTGTCAAAAGAAAGCGAGAAGACTAAGGCGAGTCCAGCAGTTCATGTTGATGGCGAGAGGGCTAAGTCCCATTCTCCTGAACAAACAGGTTCCGGTTCTGGCGCCCAGTCCCAGAGCGATACAGCGCATGGCTCGGGCATCGTTGGAGATGCCGTGACCGGGGAAGTCACGGGGAGTGGGTCGGGAGTGAAACCTGATGCTCGGTAAAGAATAGACACAATTCAAGACGAAGAATAAATTATTCTGATTCTGGTATACGATGTTATAAAAAGTGACATTGAAAAGCATTGCTCTCTGTAGGTTTTGAATACAGTCGTGCCTGGCTGGCCTAGCTAGATCAGAGAGCCCTCTCTGTGATGGTGTTTCAAAATTGAACTGCCTGTGCCATTCATCGGCGCTTGCGAATTCTCCACCTGTTTACTTGGCAAAAGTAAAAACACTCTCCTTCAATGAATTTACAAAAGAAGTTACAAGTTGACTACCGAGATTTAATTCTTGCTGTTTTCTTTATCGTTTTCTTTTTCCTTTTCTCCTTTTCCCCGAAATAACAGATGACTCGTTTACAACAACAAAGCCAAAATATATTTTGTAGTCAATTAAAGTGAATATTTTGTAGAGATCAAAAGAAAAGATGTATGTTATAGTAGAAAATAAAAGAACCCTATTTTTTTACACGTCAATGTCCAATTTTATGATCGCGAAAGAACCCATGAAATAATCACCAATAATTTCCATAGGTGATGTTCCGTAACTAATTTCTTGTCTTGTAACATTTTTTAACTTGGCAGCTCAAAATGCATTAAACCTTTACTGTGTGATGTATATGGTTCATTTAAGTACCCTAGTCAGCCTCTGCCATTTTCGATGCCATTGAATTTATTGATTTTGCATGATGAAGCGAAATCTTATTGCTTTACTGTAAGTTGTGTTCCTGAAAGTGTGCTCAATTATCTTAAGTAGTTTCACAGTGATTTCCTTCGTCTCGACGTGCCAACCTCTCGCATGTAAACAACAACAAAGGTGTGGCTGTCTGGGGCTCTTTAAACGTGCAGCATTGCTGAGAATCAACGTTAGTTGTAGGGATTAGAACGGGGGTACCATTTTTAACCATTGCCGCAGGAACCAAAGCTTAAAGAAGTCTAATTTACAGAATATTTTTTTCTTATTCGATCTTCCACCTCATCATCACGGTAATCTTTCTTGCGAATTCTCCTTAAAAATTAAAATTAAAATGCGCTCCCTTCTCACAACTTTCATTTTTCTTCCATTAACCACGTTATGGTTCTATTACTCAATACTGATTATTTAATTATTTAATTATATGATTATTTAATTCTGTTACTCGCTATTGAAATTATTAGATTTAATAATGTTTCCTTTTCACCACGGTAATGAACAAAACAACCATGCAATTTTACATGGGGCGGGCTATAGTCGGGTTATAGTTGTAATAATTTTTATACTGTATCTGGAAACACTACGTGTACCAAAAATAAAACAATCAATTTAAGATTATTTCACGATAAATAAGAATGGCAATCATTAGGACTTAGTTGTTTTTCCGTATTACGTTTAATATCATACAACCAGGTAAGGAAAGCTCAGTTGTTTATAGCAAACTGATGTGTGACATGTTGTGGGCACAACTCAGATTCTATTTTCACGCCTGTCAAGTTGTCTTCGGTAAAATTGTTGCGCGAAACTAGCGTGGACTCACAAGTTATACGGAAAACTATCAAATGTAGCAGTCTTTTTCTTGATTTGACTTCTCTTGCTTTCCTGTGAACCTCTAACCAATCAGGTGAATCATCCTGCTTTATCGACCAATCAAAAGTAAAACCAAACCACTCGTGACCTCGCGTACGTACGTATTTTCGCGCGCTAGCAATCGGTTGTCTATTTTCCCGCGCTTGCGATCGCTTACGTATTTTCGCGCGCTTGCTATCGGTTACGTATTTTCCCGAGCTTGCAATTGGTTGTGTGTTTATGCTACTCATGACTGAAGAAGTCTGGCGAATCTTCCTTCTAACGGCTCAATCCGAAGTTATTGCCGGGCTCTGTGTTAAACGTTGATTTTAGTTGCGCTCGACAACCCAAGAACTTCAAAATAAACAATACTACAAACATATGACAGGTTCAGCGTTTTTGTTTAGTAACCAAACCACCAACAGGTTAAAAGTTAATTCAATAGTAAAACAAATTGAGCACCTGTCGGAGTGCATCACTTCAGTCAATTAACAAAAAGACCATCACTTAAAAACAAATGAACCTGAAAAAATTTGACTGTCCTAAAAAACGATTAGCACTCTGTTTGTGTTTCTTCTTCTTAGTAGGATTGACCAAAGCCGCAACAAGATCTATGTTAGGGAAAAATAAACAGGTGTGAGCTTATAAGACTTTCAGTCAACATCGAGTCCTGCAAAAATTAACACTTTTTAAATTACGTGATGCAATAAGAAAACCACTCAATGATAGGTGACAACGACAAACTTAACCAATCAGATTACAATAAAATGACATATGAAACGTAAAATGTTGGTGTACTTCATATCAACATTAAGAATTCTCTTTCATATCGTTCTACAAACTGAGCAGGAAATTTGACGATGTTATCGATAATATTTTCGATTGCCCTGTCCCTTTTCGGGCAGGGTTTATGTGCTCCAGCTGACCCGGTGTTTAAATTAAGCGATGCAGATTTTGATCATTTCCTTAAAGACAAAGAAACCATGTTGGTTGACTTCTACGCGCCGTGGTAAGTTCATATTGTCGCCATATTGTCGTTTGAAATTCTTTCGCGTAGCATTGAAAAAACGAAAGGAAGATTCTGAAGAGATCTCGAAGCGAGTGTATCTTACGAATAAAATGAAGCAGATTGTTTGGTTATTGTTTGATTTGAATCGTTGAATTTAAGACAAACGGATTATTATAAAGCCAATGAGATGTTTTATTCGCAGGTCATTTACCATACAGGTAGGGCGGTTCCTAACTTTCCTTTAACTTCTTTTATGCTAGCTATTTATTTAATCTGACCTTATCAAAATACAAAATACTGCGTACATATTTTTAGTTTAATAGAGACAAGTAAACCTCTTGGAAGCCTTATAGAACGAGACACTGATTTTAGTTGTAAATTGAAACGAACTTTCAAATGAACTTTTAGGAAAATCAAATAAGCATATTGACAAATGAGTTTAATTTGTCGTCTTGGAGAATTCAGGATGTTTTCTTTTCTTCCAATTTTATTTGTCTTTTACAAAATTTCGCCCATTGTCTGTGAGTCATCACCAAGTACAGACACTGATTCATCATTAGATTTGTTTTACTAAACGATAAACACAACAAACCAAACTTAACCTCACGTATGAAACAACATTGTTTCAAGACCTTGGAATCAAATGACAACCTAATACCCACTCCTCCCTTGTTAGGTGCAGTGATTGTGCCAAACTGAAGCCTGATTTTGAAGGTGCAGCTAAAGACTTTGCACGGAAAGGAAAATTTGTTTTCGCCAAGGTTAGTGTTTACGATGACCGACAGCACCTTTACCACGTTTGGAGTTCAGTTATCAACATGGCTGTCGCAGTTGCATGATGGTTAGTGCGCAAGGGGTCTGGGTTCTATTGCTGGTCGGGTTAATTGTTGTGTGTCCTCGGGTGATAACCTCTTACTAACCGAGCGCAAGGGCGGTACTGGGGAATATTGGCCCGAGATCGTGGCAGTACGGACCAAGCGTAACGAGGTCTGTACAAACACGACCGGGGGCCAATATTCCCCAATATAGACCCTTTTAATAAATGGCTGCCAATTATAAATTCTTTTGTAAGTATTAAAATCAGCCTGACTAACCTCGTTTTTGAGTTGCTAATTCAAAAGAATTTTTACTCCCAAACGAGTTTAGTGAGGCTAATTTAAATGCATACAAAAGAATTTTAAATTGGCAGCCATTTATGAAAAGGGTCTATGGCTTGAGCAAGCTAGGTTAGTAAGTAGTTTATTATATGGCACTCGAGCTATGCTTGTTTCAGTATTTTTCTGTTAAAACACACTTCAGGTCACTTTAAATTCAAAGGGCTTCGCTAGGGTGTGATAAGTGAAAATAAGACGATAATAAGGTATCGTCGATTTTACTCCACAATATCTCCTTTAAAAACAAGGGGAACGTTTTAACTGAAACGAGATCAAAAATCAGATACCAGATATGGTGAGTTTAAAGCTTAATTTAGGCCAGTAACTTTTTTAATTCAACCGCTTCACAGATTGACTGTTTCGGCGAGGGAAGGAGCATCTGCGAGAACAGGTTCAATGTACACAGCTGGCCGCAGCTGAAAGTATTCCGAAAAGGGCAATACGCTGGAGAGTACAGCGGTAACCAAGACAAAGGTAATATAGGTCTGCATTAAAGCTAAGAAGCGGCCGTCATTTTGTTAAGAACCGTACACTGCTACGCTACTCACTATCTACAGCAGAATAGTGAGTAGCCTAGCCAATCAGAGAACAGCATTCGTGATATAACGCTAGTAGATTTATAGTAATGACAATTGTAATGCTATCTATTTTGATGGAAGCAGTCGAGGGTGGGGTAGGGGGGGTAGGTTGGAGGAGTGGATAAGAGACGGTATTTCTACAAAATGTTTGACCGACTCCCTAAAATGTTTTTTTCCCCTTTTCTCCGTCAGCTTCTATCGAAAGATTCATGAATGAACTAATCAAACAGAAAGTCCCAAGTAACATTGTACAAGATGAACCCGCCTCAAACCAGCCCGAAGGCTATCCTTGTGGACCTACTTGGACACAGAATGGGTGGAACTTTTCGCAAATGAGCCCTTGCAACATACCTTATCAGAACCCACCAGGCTGGAAAAGAGGATAAATGAATCGTCAAATCACAAACTTGAAACTTTGATATGCGTAGCAACTTCTATATTCGAGCGCAAGATTTAACGACTTGAACATGAATACGAGGCTGCAAAATTATAGCCTCGTTTTTGTGTTGAAGCAAAAACTAATTTGCGAGAATCGAATGAGGCAATTTCAGAGTTGTTTTTGCCTGTGTTTGAAAGCGGACCCTGGTGCAAAACATTTCAAACGAAATTAAGTTGTACTACTTCTTCCAATGAACGCTGTTTTGAGGGGGCTAGTTTAGAAACCGCTGAAATTGTAAAAAAAAAAAATGGCGAACACCCGCAACAAGAAAAATGTTACAAGGTAATTACAATATAATTTTATCTATAACCCGTTCGGCCATTTTTAAGATTTCTTTCCATCCTTCTAGATTTTGAAGCTAGTAAATTTGTTGCATTGAAAACGGCAACTTTTTACTGGATATTCAACTTTTATCCATCGTAAATTAATTAAAAGAAGGCAGAAGGAAAATATATATTTTTTTAAGGATTTCCTTACCAGGTTTTAGAAGTAGGTTAGGAAACAGAGCTTAATTGTGGAACAAGGCGCGATAACTGCACGCTATTACAGGTTTAAGAGTGCGTCACAGTTTGTAAGTTAAAAATTTTATCTATCTTCGTTTTAAATCATAATAAAAAAAAATGCCAAGACAAGTACGAAAAAAAGTTTATTTCTGGAGGTTATATGTCGAACGAGCCACCAATTAAATAGGTCTACATCGCGTGCAAACTCTTCAGTAATGACTCTTCGCGTTACATATCACCGAGTTGTGATTTCGACGAACTTGTGTGAGATACACTGTACTAAAACCAGCTGTTTCTTTTTTCCCCTTTGTTAAGAATCAAAGCACGCACATCCGGCTTCAATACTCAATTTGAGGTTCACGATAGCGCGTTTAAGACCGCCCTTTGACCTGCATAAAAGCAACATCTTCAACTAACTTATCAGAGGTATCTTCAAATCGATTTACACACTTCACGATACGTTTGATCTAAGGCGCTACGCTTTCGGCGTAATGCTTACTTAGTACCCTGTGGTAATTGTGTTGTGTTCGTGGTTAATAGCAACCAGCTGATTAAATGCTGGCGGGGACTCTACAATAAACTTACTAGCAGCCCATCCAGGGGAGTACAAATACTCCTAAATACTCATATAAGCTTCAGTGGTACGAGAAACGTTTTGTTTTGGTGCAGTGACTTTAAGACTTCACCTTGATTTAAGGCGCTTCAGCTACGATATTTGCGCGGGGGTAATTGACAGTTGAACGCTTCACAAAGCACCCTAGTTTTATAAAGCTGTTAAAATAGACCGTTTTCAACAAGCCGCCTATTGTCAGCTGCCTCTTTTAAAATTCTGACCAGCTGTAATACCCTTCTTAGCCATGAAGATGGGTTTAAATAATGTGTCGACACCAAGTTGCACAATACTCCACGGGGCGAGTGAGAATAACAAACTTCTAAGTTTTAATTCAACTCTACTTTGCACTGATTACATTAACATTTTATCTACAATTTGACTAACACTGAAAACCTTTTAGCAAACGTTCTATTTTTTTCTAACAACAACAAAAAAAAAGCCACGACAGACAATGCCTAGTTAGAAATAAGAAGCATACAAAAACATACAAATGGAGTACAAAAAGAGTAAGAAAAGTTAATGTTTGTCTGTAAGTTCGCATAATTTTTATAATAATTTCTGCTTTTTACTCCAAAGCTAAGTCTTTTACGTTTTAGGCGAAACTTCACGTACTGTCCTTGAATCCTCTCTGGACAAGAAATCAATATGTCTGTAATTCTAAGATTATCCTCTCACAAGATCAATTGTTTGCTTTAAGCTATAACAAAAATAATCAGAATGAAAAGTTGTTTCCTGGCCAAAACTGTCAAGGACAAATTAATAATTTTGCTTCAATTTATTATCACTTGTTGTCTGAATGATCCACGTCTTCTACATCAGAGGTGTCAATTTGACCATCACCACCCCACTCGGGTTGACAGTGGCACTGAAGCTTAAACTAAATATCCCAAGATCCTTGTGCTCAAACAGGTCACGTGCCACAGCACGTGAAGCAGACAATCCAACCTAGGACAACGAACACAGAGATTTGATCGTCAATGTTCTACACATTACTTTAACCTGGGACTACAGTGGAACCCCGTTAATACGGTCACCAACGAGCCATGAAAATTTGGCTGTATCAACGGGGTAGCCGTATTAACAGGGCAGGGTGATTTAACCTCATGACTGGTCTAAATTGAGTTAAGTCTTCACAAATATATCACAATTGCACTTCCAAACAACTGTTCTTTAGCTGAGTGAACATCGGGAATGCAGATATAACTTTAAAAAAAATCTAAACTTCAATCAGCACATATGATATTAACAATAGACAGATGAACATAACTAGTTTGAGTGGCCGTATAAACGGGGTAAAATTATAAAGATTATACAGACTGGGATTTCAGAATGTGGCCGTTCGCTGTATTAACGGGGTGGCCGCATTAATGGGGTTTTCTTATAGGAAAATGTATGGCGTTTCGCCGGGACATAAAAAAGTGGCCGTAATAAAGAGGTGACCGTAAGGCGGGGGTTCCACTGTATGTTAAACAATTTTGATACCAAATCGAGCGATGAGGAGCATTGCTACTCTCCCCTGGATGGGATGCTAGTCCANCCCCCCCCCCTCCCAAGGAATATGTCAGGTTACCATAACAACTCACCAGTACCCATTTATGTCAGAGAGGCGTTATAAGACCTGAGAGGTTCGCCAAAGAAGGCAACACAAGGTTGAATCCAGACTGTTCGAGTATAGCTCGCTAACCATTTAGGCTAATCCTGGGATATGTTTCACAAGCTAAATTTCTTACCAATTGAAAACTCGCTTCCATTATTTCTGGCGTAGAGACAGAATGTGAGAATAACACCACAGCTACTGAGCCGTCAGCTAAAGGTCGTGCCCAGATCTCTTTGTTTCCAGCCTAACATACAACATGAGAACATTTCTCACTAAGCTGGACGTAAAATTAGTTAAAGATCAGAGTAAGGCAATTGACACTGTCATGGTAAGATATCTGAGGCTTTCTTCTTGAGATTGTGTTGTTCTGTTTGTGTTGTATTGATTTTTATATAAACCTTTTCAGCCAGCGCTATGCTCAAAATATCAAAAATTCTTTAGGACTACAGCACATATCTCTTAGACTAGTTCTGAGATTTTGGTTGTACAAACATAGACTTGGATTTTCGCCATTCTCGCCATCACCTATTTGCTTGACAAGGTGCTAAGACGCAAATGATTGCCGTGTAGTAGAAACGGAGAAACTTGGGTCTCTTAATCCTCGAATGAAAACGTCCTGTCAGGTAAGATACGAGGGCTGAAAGCCCTTCTTTTATCTAACAATTAGATTATGAGCTCGAGATTTCTATCACGCATAGAAATCGAGAGTGAATAATCTAATTGTTTATTAGTATAAATCTACTAGTCGTTCAGAAGTTCATCTACATCTTCTTCATAGGCACTTCAAAACGCAAAGAAGCGGCCGTCATTTTGTTAACAAGGGCACACTGCTACGCTACTCACTATCTATCACAGAATAGATAGTAAGTAGCGTAGCCAAAAAAGTGAACGGAATTCATTATAGAACGCTAGTAGATTTATACTAAAACTCGATAGAAACACGAGTTACCACTGACAGTATTTCTTGTTCTCCCAAACTTCCCCCAGCTTGTTTAGTTCCCAATACAATTGAGTTAACAAGGGTAAAATTTAAAAAAAAGCTCCTGTTCATGCGATAAAATAATACTATATTTCACATTCTTTAATGCCTTACCAAGAGAACTCTTCGACCCATTTTTCCTAGTTTGTCTTTATTGACAGCAATCACTTCACTGCAAAATATGGTAAGTGATGTCAGAGTCGTAGATAGCATAAGGCAAAGTCTAACTTTTATCCCGAATTTAAAACAAATATCTTGTTAACTGGAAAATAACCCCCCAAAAAACATTTGCCACAATGTTGGTTCTTATCCTGCCGCACAAGCGGATTCAGTTTACTTATTCCTGCCGTAAGTTACATGACTAGACCTCTCTGTCTGGGCCATTCCAGAGTACAGAATGTAATGAAGTCTCCATGCAGAAAGTGTAATGGAAATCGGTGACAACTTTTTGGTTACAACTAACGGAAAAGATTCATATTTAACAATCATATTGATCTTTAGCAGTACATAAGCGATGGGCAAATGTGACTGACTCTAAATTAAACAATTTTCATGTGGCTAAATATGATTTAGGCAAAGTTAGACTCAAACCAATGCAGTCAGCGGTTTCCCCTTTTACACTACGTGACTTAAGGGGCGGCCCTCTGGAGATTTGCAGGGCTGTTGTGGCACATTGTATTGCACGTGCTGTGCTGCCAGCTGATCGTTGCGGATCATTAGCTTTGTATTTTGGCGAATCTTTGCGGATTCTCGCCCCTTCCCGTCCCTCCCTCTTAGTCGCTGGTCTCTAGGTGAGTATGGGTCAGGTACGTTGTTTCCACTGATTCATTCACTGTCACGGTGCCAGTTAGCGGCTGCTTTTGGGGGTGGTTCCCGCTTCCAGGGTTGCCATGGATACCTCCCCTTCCGCTCACGGCTTCTGCTCCCCACTAACTTTTCAGGCACCAGTTCCCAAGCTCATCTATTTGTGATGAGTTTAATTGCTGTTACAAAAACTAATTTTATGTGAAATGTCATGGAAAGAATTGGTAATTATTATAGTTTCCCCATGGGGTATATGATCTGTGTCCTCCCTCGCACTCTCTCCCTACCCACCCCACCCCCTAACCCTCTTTACCTCTCACTGAAACCTAACAACCTAATGAAACGTTTCCTTTATAACTTCAGTGCTGAGCTTTGCAGTAAATTAACATGTTCTTTATGACACGTGTGCAGTAACTCGGAATTTGTTCAAAGAATAGTAAATTTAAATATCAGAAATCATCACCTGTTTTGGAGAATCTCTTTGGCCCAAGGAGAAATGCTACGAAGATCAGTGGACATTATCAATGGCTAAGAGACACAAATAATATGCGAAAACATTATTTACTGCATATTAAGTGCTATTAATACTTTCCACACTAGCTATCTGTATTTTGCTTGGCTTTACACAACCTGGTGAAACACAAGAGCTGTGGGATAAACTCTAGGTTACTGTCAGATTCTAGATGCTTTGACAGTGGGTTCAGCAATTAAAAGTTATTTTGAAAAACTTAAAAGTGTAATTACATGCAAACTACGTGTACCATAGGCCCTTTGCATAACTGGTGCCGAATTTGAATAACAGTTATACACCCTAAGCCTCACATTCATACAAAAAATCCTGTCTGGAAACATAAGTATGAAGCTAAGGATGTATAAAGAATTGGTATTAACATTTAGGCACCATTTATGCAAAGGGTCTATTGAACTCTTCTAAACTGATCAATCGCCCAAGTTATGAAAATACAAGGCAATTTCCAGCTAAAATATACATGGGAGGTTAAAAGCATGTAGTTAATATCTTTGAGGGATAATTGAAAACAGGAATTTATTGAAAGAATTTAATAAGTTTTCTATTGGACAGGGCTCTTGGCCAGCTGGTGTCATTTGTCACTCATCAATCATCTATGATAGACTCCATATTTATTCAGTTGTTAGAGGTAAAATGAATTTGAGTTATATTACCCTTAGATACTGGTAGATATTGGTACCTTTCAGGGGCTTTTTTTTCAAAATTTCTGCCAATCAGTCCTGTTACTTAAAAATGGGACTCCCTCCAACCCCTGGGACTACTCACATTACTGTGTATATATTGGCATACACCTTTCAATAACATGCACACCACACTTAAACAGAAGCATTCCCTGACTCAAATCAATGATTACAATCACATTTTGTCACTACTTAAGCGTTTGCATGTTAATTGAAAAGTGCAGTAACAGCATATACAGTTTGTGAAAGTGTATAATCCATTTGGACACCAAGTCTACTTACTGAAGCCATGATGGACCACATGGCAAACTGTGCCTTGGATTGTTCATAACTTAAACTAAAGTCACCAATAATAAGCTGAGGATAAAAGACAATTACATTAAATTTTACATCAGGTAAATAAAAACGTCCTTTGCAATGAAATTGTTGCTGCAGCTTAATTTTGTGGTTTTGGAAGAGCAATGTTTGGCAACGCTTTTCCAAATTTGATAATTTTGCTTAACATTTTTTTCAATGAGTCACTTTCTTTTCTTGGCAAGAGAAAACTTTTGCCAAATATGTGAAACTTTGATGTTGAGAAACATTTTGTGTAACAAGGTGCATTTGCATAACCTTTCTGGTATGCTTTGCCAGTACATTTGTATACCAGGCTTGTTTCAATTGGTCCAATGCTCTGGGTTTCACCAATTGGAAATTCCATCATTTATACAATTCAAGTGACTGCACCTGACTGACTGATGGAGTGGCTGAGTGACCAAGTGACTGAGTGACACACTAATCACTGACTGAGTGAATAACGGACTCACTAGATAGCTGGCTGACTGACTGACTGACTGACCAACTGATTGACTGACTGACTGATTGATTGATTGATTGACTAACTGACTGACTGAGAGATTGACTGACCGACTGACTGACTGACTGTCTGACTGACTGACTGACTGATTGACTGACTGACTGACTGACTGTCTGACAGTTGGATGGATGGACAGACTAGCTAGATGGCTGACTGCTGACTGACTGATTGACTGACTGACCAAATAACCGCCTAACTAACTTACCAACACACTAAATGGCTGGCTGAGTGTCTGACTGACTGACTGACTGACTGACTGACTGACTGACTGACTGACGCACTCAGTCAATCAGTCACTCATTCACTGATGCACTGATTGACTGTATCTCTTGCCAGTCTTTGTTGCTGAAAAAGAAAACGCTAATGCTGGCAACACAGGATTAAACTAGCCCCATTGACCAGATATTCAGCCTTCTAGTTACCATATCAGGATCATTCCAGTTTCCAGGTCCTGCCACAGGAATCATCTCGTCTTGATGGTCACCATACCACTTAATTATTGTTGTCACACTCTGCCAAGAATCCTTCAAAATAGACACCTCAATGTCACTCTGACTATTATTCTGTGCATATTATTAAGTATAACAATGGGTAAATAAACAGGTTGGACATTGTATCTGCACTGCCTTTTGTCCAAATGGATGAAAAACACTGACTACCTGACATAACACTGAAGGTTGTATGGAATGGTTATCGCACAAATCAAAATTCGCAATACCTGAATATCATCATAGTTTCTCCACAAGTTGCAGTTTTCAGCAATCCATGTATAGTTAGGCTGAAAAATTACACAAAATTAATTTTACAACTGACATTAAAAGTTTATGCTTTTTTTCCCCAGAAGAACTCATCACAAATGAGTTTCAAGGGGCACTAAAGAGTTACAAATGAGTTTAAAGGGACACTAAAGACTTTTTCCTTAATTAGATAATAAGATTTACATGTATGTGTAGATGCATACTTCTTTTATATATTTTTTGGCCATGTGACAATTTTCTAAGTGAATTTTTACCTTCCAGACCTTTCGTATTTTTACTTATGTACTCTAATAACAGGACCTCCTTTGATACCAGTGTTTATTACACTGTATAAATAAATATTAGTATTATTATTATTATTATTATGTACAAATACTCTTACCGTTCTTGTGGAACTTTGGTAAGCTGGCCAGCTACAAGAAAATACTATTGGTCTCCCTGTTTTGTTAAGAGCTTTAGTGACCATTGGGTAACCCGTGTCCATCTTGTCAGGGTCACTATAACAACCATCCAGCTTAAGATAGTCAACTCCCCAGGCGGCAAATGTCTAAAAACATGCAAGAAATGAACAACAAAATCAGTGTTTACAAGATAAGAATGTAGCACTTGCCACTCTCATAAGAGACCAAGTAGTGTGGTGGCCACCTCTTAGAGGTAGACATGTGAACTATACATGGGATGTCCAAGCCAAATTCAACTTGCTTGCCTGGAAAACACTTCTCTAAGGTGGGGCAAAATGCTGTAGTTACCCTTAAAATAATTACTAGATTGAGAGCTAACAACTGTCAAGTCAGTGCTATACAGGCTAACTGAAGAACTACAGCTAACTAGGCTTTCTGGATTGCCTATCTGTAGCTATACACCACTATTCAAGATTATTCGCACCATTCATGACTATTCAGACTATCAAATATGCATGCAGTTGCCATGCATTAATACTATTCACTGTTTACTACATGTATTTGGGTTTTCCAGCTAAACTGACTAAGAGAAACATTAAGATAAACTACCCAGTCAACTTACATCCATATCTTGTTGAATGTGATCAATAGTTCCTGGGTATCCTGCACATGTTTTGGTCCCATAATCTGAGAAGAAATGTTTTGACACAATTACAACATTTATGTTAGGGTCAGTGATCTAATCATGAGTGTGGACGACTCCAGATGAATTGGTTCCGATTTGGGTGCAAGGTCTCCATAAAATGGCTGAGATTGTACTGACCACACCCAGACAGCTCCCTAGAAAAAGTCCCAAATTGGAATTATTTAATTAGCCAAGGGTATTTTTCAACATTATGTACCCTTCAAATGACTTTCACTAGTAAAAATAATAATTTATTTTTTTCTAGCAAACTGTTGATCTCAGAGCTGTTCCAACTACATCTGAAAGATAGATCTTATAACAACTAAATTTAAGAAGATGTGTCCTTTGTGCAAATGCTTCAGGAGCTTTCTTCTCAAAACTATCTACCTGCATATATTCCAAACTTTAATCCTTTCGAATGAATCTGAAACAGAAGAAAGTATTTTATTTAAAATTGACAATTTTTAGCTTTGTTAGAATGTCTAGGAATAGTGCATGATGAACATGGGAGAAAAGTTGTTTTTAAGCGCAATCTGAGAGTCACGTCTTAAAACATTTCTAAATATCAAGAAGAGAGTTGAAGATACAAATCGATACAAAGGAAACTGAAGGTAGCTGCCAGCACCCCTCTGTTCTTGACAAATTTTCTCAATTGGGAGAAAATTTTTCAATACAATAAAACACTGTCTTGACCATTTTGACATATAAGATCTTCTCCATCAAACCTAAAAACCTAAGAAGAAAATGGACAAATAAATTCATGCAAATCAAGTGAGCAGAATTTGGAGATAAATCAAGGCAGTATCACATAGCTGATGATTTTCTTTATTTTTGTCACAGATTTGCATGAAAATATATTGGAATTTTAATGTCGAGACATCATATTTCACTCCTGGGATTTAAAGGGTCCAGAGAAAGGGTCCAGAGAAAATGTATCGATGAGCTGGGAAATTGGAAGCACTGCATCCAGATGAATGAACAAGGTCTCTTTAGAGGACAGTTGGATTGATGATATATATCGGCCAACAGTCAGTTGAGTGTCAGTTGAATAATTATCAGTCGAGTATTCATCGAATGTCAATCGAGTATCAGTTGAGTATCGGTCCGTATGTCGCATCTTACTCAACCAACACTTGACTAACACACATATCAGCTGATATATCGACCAATACTCAACCGATACCAAAACAAAACTCAACCAATAATCAACTGACACTCAACCAGCTGTCATTTGGTCATCTATTGGTCAACACTCAGCTGATTCAAGGCCGATACAAGGCCGACATATTGACCGAGTGTCCGTTGATATATTGGTAGATAGTGTCGACTAAAACACTACCTACAGTAAACATGATCTGGATTGATCAAGGTAAAATTTTGATGAAATATGACAGGCATTAAAAGAGCAAGGGAGTGATAACATGCTTACATAGTCACCAAGAGCTTTCATTCCACTTGGAAATCTTGTAGGGTCTGGTTGTAACTGACCATCAGAAGTGCGATTGTGAGACATCCAACAATCCTAGAAAATAATATCTTTCATTACAAGCCTGATAAAACTTACTCCAACAGATAACACAGACAAACCACCTTGGAAAAGCAACAAGAACTACTTAAAACTCATGAATAGCAATATGATTTGACCCGGTTAATTTATTACAGTTGACTACCACTTATTGAATGGCCATCTTGCAGCTTTATAGAGTAACCCCTTCCCTATCTATAACGTGGCCAGGATTTTTTCTCATCACCATGTACTTATCAATACACTAATAAATACAAATTTTTTTTCCCATGGGCGGGAGGGGGCGGGCATTGAGAAGCTGGTCAACTCAACTCTATAATGTGATAATTAAGAAATAGGAAACGTGTACCGTGTTTCTATTGAGTTATAGAAACACGAGTGGAAGTTTGGTAGAAGGGGAAATGCTGTGGGAACACGAGCCATAGACGAGTGTTCCCACAGCTTTTCCGAGTTCTCCCAAACTTTCATGAGAGTTTCTATAACTTGATAGAATCACGGAGAACATGTTTTCTATTTCTTTTAGAAAACACAGCGACAAAAAATAGGGAAACAACTTGTTTACTTTGATCATCAAAATGTAAATTCTCTTTGCTCACACCATCATTACGTCAACAGCTCGTGCTAGTTCTGTGTTTCTATCGAGTTATAGAAACACATTTTTTAACCAATCAGTGTGCATATTTTCTTAGGGCTGTTTTAAGTTCTATAGAAACTAGTGTAGTGTGACAGACTAATCAAACTAATACACACAGACCACAGCAAAGCACCATTTCTGAAAATTTCAATTTCCAATTCATGATAAATAATTACTCCACCAGGGCTCAAAACTACTAGTTGCATTGCTACATGTATGAAGATGCCCAGGCAAAGATGCTAGGGCAACTGTATAGTGCTTAAGACATGTCTGAGTAAAATTATCAGCACCTTTCTTACAGACATATGTGGTTTGAACCTCCCCCCTCCAGAAATCCCAGTTTAGCTTCATTCCTCCTTTTAAATGTTTGGGCCTCGAAGACCCTACCCATCCCCCTCAGAATTCCCCATGACTTTCCACAGGGTGGGAGAGGATATTTTCTAGAACAGCCTCATGGTTGATAATAAGTCACAAGATAAGTACTCACATCAATGGACACATATTCGTAGCCAGCCTCTTTAAAGCCATCCTCAGCCATGCGATCTGCCATCTCAAAAATCAGCTTTTCACTAAAAAGGCAAGGATATTATTCATTGTCTTTGAAATCTGTTTTCAGACTTTTTTAAACTGTTTACTCCTGATCCACACTGGATAAATTTAAATCTATGGTCAGGGTTTAAGAAATGGCATGCTATTCTGTTCTGCATTTATCACCATTAAACTTGTACAAATACACAGTACATGTACATGTAAGGCCTCAAGCAAATCTAAACAAAAACCCTGGCGTTCCAAAATGGCCACCATTGAGTTCTGTAATGAGTATATAATTTTGTCAACAAATGTTGAGCGTTGATCTTCAGCACTTCAAATTACCTTAGAGTTAATTCTCTTCTTTCCTACAGCTATAACTACAACATTACAATAATTATTGATAACTAGATAGCTGTACCCAATGCAATTTTCTGGATCATTTACACAGTCTATGTTGCAGCGATATCTCTCCCAATCCATCCATCCCACTGAAATCGGAAAGAAAAGTCAAATTTAATTTAATGTTTCGCTTCCCCTTAAGCCTACTTTTCTAGTTTAATTCTCTCTCCTTTTGTGCTAAATATTTTGTCCAGACACTTGGGCTAGAGATGTTTCCCCCTTGCCTTGTCGGAGTAGGAAAGGGCCCAACACAACTCTGCCCCCCCCCCAACAAGACAGAACCACCCTCACTTTGTCCCTCATCCTGCTCCAGCTCACAGCTGTCCCCTTCCCATAGGACATCCTGCGAGCAGAGGTCTCTTCGATCTTCCTATAAGGGACCTCTGCTCGCAGGGTACCCAAAGGACGGCTAAACTTCAGAATACCCGGCCACTTAAAATGTGTTTTCAAAAAGGACTAAGAAATATATCAAAGTTGAAATGTATTAACCTTGAAGATTAATTCTCGCGTTTGAATATATCAACGTATGACGTTTTAATTCAAGAGTAAAACAAATGAGTCATGGAAAGTTAAGTTAAAGTCGGGTGAAAAGAGCTAAAAGCAAACTACAGCTTGCAATCTGCTGAGAATCATGTGACAAGCCAGGAAACTAGCGGATCTACAATGATCAAAACCGTACAACGAAAAATACGACTTTTAGACGTCATGTTGCTGACTTACTTGGTGGTGTCCGAGCTAAACCATTGTTTAGAGATTCAACAACAATGCACGCTTGAAATGATAAGACAGAAACGATTACGATCATCAAACAACTGCGAGCCGCCATTTTCATTCACTGCAAACAATGGCTACCAGTCTCTTTCGTCCGTGTGATCGGTCACGCAATGTAAATGATACTGATCATGCAAGAATTAACGGTCCTGTGCGTGAGGCCAGGTCACGCTATGCTAATGAGATCGATTACGTAAGCATTTGTCCTGTGCATCACACTACGCCGGAGAAATTTGAAAACGCAGCTTCATTTCTCCGGTTTGGCCTACCGTCCACACTAATCCGTCACGAAAACAGAGCCTTTTGATAATCACGTGGTTGTCCTGTCGGAGATTTTCTCAACCACAGATCCAAAATGATCTGTTATTGTGGAGTCTTCGAATTCCTCAGGCGTAGTGTGGAAGGAAAATATTTAAAGCATTTTAAGAGTGAAAACGCCGCATTCGAATTTTTCGGGCGTGCTGTGGACGCCCGGGGACTACTCCCATAAAAATAGGAGGGGTTAAAAAAAGCGGTTTTGGTAGCTCTTGGAGTGTTCAGCCTCAAAAGGTCCACAACTGGAGCTTTTGCGGTTCCTTTTAGGGTATTGAGCCAGAAAAAAATATATATTACAGGAGAGAAAATGTCTTGTTTTAGAATTGGTACCTCAATTAGGGGTGAAAAAAAAATTCAAGCCACGCCCACAAAACAGGATCTTAGTACCTCATAGGCGTTCTTTTTCAAAATTGTCGACGAACACCCACGTCCTTTTTATATGGGAGTTCCCCCCCCCACGGAATAGACGGAGCCTGAGCGACAAAATCCCGCTTAGGTGCGCATCATCCGGCGAGTGTCAGATTTTGCTTGCCCCGTTAGATCCACGTTACGCCGTAAAATGTAATAGAGTGTGTGCACGTGACGTCATCAAATTCTCAAATCCAAAACTAAAGAGCCCCTAGACGTTTTATCCTCATCAGACATAAGAGGTACTAAATTTATTTATATCTGTTTGCAACTTTCCAGCATGTTCAGCTCAATAGCGTCCTTCGTTTGGAAACCAGTGCATTTTGAATTTCGGAGTTATGGCGGTGCTTGACATGAAGCTAAGATCGCGCTTGTTGAAAAATATACACTTATCTCGTGATTTTTAGCCATTTTAGGAGTTAAAGTATTAGGAAAAGTGCTTTTTTAAATGTTTTTTTGGCTCGGTTCTGATAATCAGTTGTCTAGATAGCCATCTGAAATAAGTTTACACTATTTTCCGGCCGCCATATTGGAGGACTAAGGAGGTCCTCCAACATGGCGCCTCCATACTAGGCTCTATAATTTTGCGCGGAACATTTCGACGAATATTGTTGCCTACGAGGTGGCTGTATTGTTACGTACGAGGTGGCCTCGACTAAAAGCCTGATGGTTTCTAGAGGTCACCTAGCCTCACATTAAAATATTTATAAATACTGTACATTAAGTAAAAAGGTAAAATAAACAGAATGAATGAATGAATATCTCAACTTTGGGACAACGCACACACCTTAAACTTGGAGAACTGTCTTCCTAATTTATCGTCTATAATATTACCATTTCTTGACTTTATCCACTGAATGGCTTTTGATTTTATCTTTTATTACGTGACAATGCACACACTCTATAACGTCACCTCGTTTTTTACGGCCAGTCTTTTTTGTCCCGGCGAAACGCCCATACATTTTCTCATAAGAAAACCCTGTTAATCCGGCCACTCTGTTAATACGGCCAACAGCCACATTCTGAAATCCCAACTGTATAATCGTCTATAATTTTACCCCGTTAATACATGATATAATACGGCCACTCGAACGAGTTATGTTCATCTTTCCATTGTTATTATTGTGGGTTTTGATTGAAGTTTTCAACTTTTTGTAAAATCATACCTGCATTTTGAATGCTTATTAAAGGGTAGCTGTTTAGAAGTGAGTTGTGATGTCTGTCAAGAAGTCACTTAAAATAGACCAGTTTTGAAATTTTGATCCCACCCCGTTAATACGGTGAAATTTTCATGGCCAGTTGGTGACCACTGTATTGAATCAAGTGTAAAATCTTTCAGTTTCAAATGGTGAAGGTTAAAGCACTCAATAATCGAAACTCTTGAAGTAACATCTTAAAAACAGTCAATGACAAACCACAAGCTTACAATATCATCTACTGACTACAATAACTCAGTCAATGTTCAAATATATGTTTATATGATCAAAAAGAGTCTATTTTTGGTCGGGATTTTACCCGCCCACTCTTCCTCGAGTCATTTTTTACCGATAATTTATGGAAAAAAAAGTTTTCCTTTCTTACCAAGTTCTCGGTCATGTTTTATAATTATCTTTTTATTAATCACATTTCTGGTTTTTAAATGATCTTCTGGAAAGATCACGCGCAAACAGAAATTTGTTTCTTTTGTTTTCGCTTGGCACGTCAGATGCTGCGAAACTAAAATGGTTTTAAGGATGGATAATTTATGCCACCAACACATTGTAAGCAGTAAAACACAGACGCACCTCTACAGTTTTTGTTTGGAAGAACGAACGGCTGAACACGGACTACTGCGCAACGGTAAGTTAGTCGTTATTTCGTTTAAAACAATGCATTATTTGGGCTTCCACTGATAACATTTAACATATTATTATATGGAGAAGAGTGTTTTACTGGGAACTAAACCACTCGTAGATTCCATACGCCACTTCATCCGGGACCCGAGTGGTGTATTTTCCGTAT